TTGCTGGAATAACCTTTGTTAGCAGCATCTCTCTGATTACTTCTCTGTTTATGTTCTGGAGTGCCTTGGTTTCCATGGTCCCTCTTGGTCTTTTCTTTCTTGCTTTCTGTGCTACTTGCTGGACAGTGAATGGAAAGATGCCATACTTTCCATCATGTAAAAGTTCCCCATTTATGCCATATAATGGCTTCCCTATGATTGCCATGAACATTGCCTTTAGTTTGAATCTTCTTGACTGAACTGCCATATAGGGATCCTCCTCACATGGCAGTAGGTAGAACCTCCTTTTGTCAGGGTTCAAGTAGAACCACTTTTCATCACAGTGTATGACATTCCTCATGTCAACAAATGTGGGGTCCTCATTCCCTGTAATTGGATTTATATGTGACAAAATCCATCTTAGTCTGGCAACCTTGTGGTCTGATGTGAGCAATGGTTTGTTGCAGCATGTGTGTGTTCTTAGCCTGCCTCTTTTCTTCAAATTGTGAACTGTAGTTAGACTGATCTTCAATGCTCCTGCATAGCTTCTTTCTGTCTGCCTTAAATGTAATGGGACTGACTGGAGAGTTTCATCAGAAATCTCCATTGGCTTTCTCCCTGTTTTGCCAAATTTTTTGGTCCTGACATCAATCAAGTCCCCTGTTGCCAGCTGTTTTTTTATGTCTGAAAAGATTCTTGTGATTGTTGATTTGTGGACATTAAATTCAGATGCTAATTGCTTCATGTGACCCCTTGGTAAAGTCCCATTGCTCATTTTCAGCAAAATTGCATCAACAATCTTTCTTCTTTGCTGCAAAGTTAATTGTTTTCTGCATACAAGACCAGTCCCTTCATGACCTTGCTGTTGCATTTGTGTGTTGAGAACATTAGTTTCTGTCTGTGGCTGCTGTTGCTGTTCTTCTTGGTTGCCATCCTGCATTTCATCTTCTGAGTTGTACTCCCATATTCCTGCATCCTGCATTTCTTCTTCTTCCTCGAACCACAGCTCTGCTAGCTCTTCTTCATTGAGAATGTGTTCAATATCAAAAAAAACAGAGTCATCAATTTCTGCCATTCCTCTTTTCCAGCACAGGGAGGATGAAGTCAGGGCCCTGCTGAGTTGTGTGGGTTGAAGATGAAGACTACACCCACCTGTGCATGAAGGACAACAGAGCACCCCTGTTTTTTGTAAAGTTTTAAGGAGTAGTTAGTGTGTAATTATTCTAACCTAGGATTTGATAAGCTTTTGTGGATGAAACTGTGTTTTTGGTGGAATGTTTCACCCACCTTTAAACAATGTTGATTGTAATTAATGCCTGACAATGGAGGATGATTTATTCCCTCCTTAAATGCTTGAATGAATGGTGACATTAAATGGGGGCATGGCTGTATTTATAGCCTCCTAAATTTTTTGGGAAAATTTGACTTTGGTATGAAATTTTTAAAAAAGGAGGGGGAAAGTAAAATTTCACCCCAAATTTTCGGTGGGTTTTGGGTGGGAAATTATGCTTTGGTTTTTTCTGCCAAACTTTCCCACCACAAACAAAAAGTGTGGTCCACACTTTCTCTCTCCTTGCTTTTTAATTAAACCCACTAACTTCTCCTAATATTTACTCTTCAATCTTTTGCCTCGTGAACCGTATTATCACTCAAAGTTGCACATAAAAATAAACGGAGGTAGTACATTATTTGACAAAATCAGTCTAAAATATTCAAAATATATAAGAGTAAACATAAACATGTAGAGTTTTGTTTGATTCGTTCATTTTAATGGAATATTGTAATTAAAATATTTGTATTACAGAAAAATATAAAAATGATTTATTTGGAAACTACAAATCGAGACAAATGTTAATATAACCTCTCAAGATTCCAAATGGAATAATATTTAAAATGGAGGAAATAATAAATAATACTCGTAATAATAAAATGACACTCCTTTCACTTTAGATTAATCACACAACTTTTTTTTTTTGACACAATTAATCACACAACATTGACCATTAATAACCATTAAAATTTGCAATTACATACGTAGTAGTATTAGAAGAAGTATAAAATGTTAATACAGTAAAAATACACATAAATACTAATCCAACAGTTTATGTGACACCATTTGCATTTACATATTGGTTAAAAATAAATATACGAAGTACAGAGTATTTATAGTATAAAAATTGTTGTTATTAATTTAAAATGGAGACAATAATAAATAATAGGGTAATGTTAAACGTAGTCCTTATGGTCCTTAAAAAAAGAAAAGGTAGCCCTTATGGCTACAAATAAGCATTTAATATCTTTCCTAAATTGGTACTCCTTCCGTCCCCAAATATCCTTCCGTAGACTTTAGAGTAATAAAAGTATATGGGAAAGTGAAATTCCCAACAAATAAAGTAATAAAAGTTCATGGGAAAGAGAAATCTATCAAATCATATATAACTATTATATAAAACTAAACTTAGCCAGACCACGAGATAGCGACACTTGATTTTTCAATTTTTCGCCAAATGTCACTACTAGAAATAGGCTGTTTTCCGACGAAATTATTCCGACGGACTTATATTCCGTCGGAAAATTCGAATTTTCCGACGGAATTTGAGTTTGTCAGAAAAATCTGTCGGAAAAGATAAGTTGCGACGGAAAATCCCTCGAAAATATTCCGACGGATTTTCTTTCCCTCGGAATTTTCTACTTCCGACGGAATATTCCCTCGGAAAATTTCTTCTGATGGAAATTCCGAGGGAAAAAATCCGTCAGAACATTTTAATTTCCTACTGTTTTTAAATCCGTAGGAAATTTTTGACGGAATTAAAATTATATCCGTCGGAAATATCCGACGGAATTTAACCCATTCCGACGGAATTTTACTAAAAAAAAAAAAAAACTAAATAGACGAACCCCCTCCCCCATCCCTATTCATTTCTCTTTCTTCTCCCCGCCTCTCTTCTTCTTCTCTCTCCTCTCTTCTCCTCTTCTGGTTCTTCTGTCATTGTACTTCTCTATTTTTTCGGTCTCCTCCTTTTCTCCTCTTGTTCATTACAATTTATCCTAGATTCGCTTTCTCTTCTGGTTCTCAAAATGCTCATTCGGCCTTTCTCGGTTTCTCGTTCCTCCTTTAGATCCGGCGTTTCGCGGCTGGTGGTGTGATGGTGTGAGGTGTCCAAGCAACAACGACTCGCTTTCTCTCTGCTGGTGGTTTGAGCCCAAGCAACAACGACAACGGCCTCTCGTTCCTCCTTTAGATCTAGTTTTTTTGTTTTTTTTTGTTTTTTTTTTTTTTTTTAACAATTCAGATTATAATTAATTTTTGATATAATTGTAATGTTATTTGATTAATTTCAAAAGATAATTGTATATTTATTTATTTTGTTTAATTTCAATTTTTTTTTAATTTTTTCGATTTTTGGTTGTTGTTTTGGTTGTTAATTGTTTCGATGTTGTTGTTTCAATTTTGGGGGTTGTGGTTTCGGTGGTAGTGGGTTTGTGGGTAAGGGAATTGGTTGTTGTTTTGGTTTTTGGTGGTTGTTTTGATTGTTGTTTTGATCTGGGTTTTTTCGATGGGTGGTGGTTGATTAGAGTGGTTGTTCAGGGTGGGTGGGGGGTGGTCTGGGTTAGGTGGGTGGTGCTGGGTGGGTCGTTTGGGTGGGTGGTCTGGGTGGGTGTGTTGGGTGGTCTGGTTGGGTGTGTCGGGATTTTTTATTTTTATTTTTTTATTTACTTTTCCGACGGACAATTCTGTCAGAATATACCTCTTCCGACGGAAATGTCCGTCGGAACATCTCCAACTCCGACGGAAATTTCCGTCGGAACATCTTTAACTCCGACGGAAATTTTCGTCGGAACATTGCGACGAAATTTCAGTTAAAGTCAACAGAAGCGCCGACAGAAATAAATCCGTCGGAAATTCCGTTGGAATGGACCTTTTCGACGGAAAATCCCTCGGAATATAGCCAAATTCCTACAAAATGTAATGCGACGGTGCTTTTCGACGGAATTTCAGGATATTCAGAGGGATTATTTCCGTCGTTGATTAGGAGTTTTCTAGTAGTGTGTCGCGCAATGTAGGCAACAATTAATTATTAGTATAACATGTAGGATAAAAACGTTGGATAGATTTTGTAAGATAAAAAAGTTAATTTAGAGTTTTATTTTCAATAAAATACCAATATTTTATACCTTTCACTAATTGTAACTCTCAATCAATATATTTTTGGCCCATAAGTTTCCTAAATTATGACATAAGTGAGTAAATGAAAAAATTTCCTCAAAACAAAATTAAAAATAGGTGGAATTAGCCCATAAATTTAGTGATAAGGGTTTATTTTACTACACTCCGTTAGTAGAAGTACAATAAAGATAACACCAATATATTTTTAGATACTATTATGCAACATTGAATTTTTTTAAGGACATTGGATCGGATTGATCAAGTAGAATTAATTAACAGAGAATTTTCGTATCATTTTTCTCATATATAGTGTATATTTCTATAATATATATTGCGCTCTTACAAAAATCAATGATATCCTTCATCAAATTATCCTAAATTAAAAGGGATATATACCTCTTACATAACAATGTTTGTAACAATGATATGTTTTAAAATTTGGCATATAGATTAAAATTTTATTTTAAAATTCAATAAATAAACTAGGTATCGCCACCATAATTAAAATTTCAAATAGGCAGTCGTCTTTCAAAAAAAAAAAAAAAACCCTAAAAGTCTAGGAGCCGAAAACTTACTTTCGAACTAAGGGTTTTGAATAAAGTTTAGGAGTTCGAATTGTTAAATGTCAATGAAACCGTAAAATTAAGTTACTTATCCAATTATGAACATTTAAAGCAACAAATGTTTCAAACGTTGATAGATTTAGATATTAGTGATAATGCCTTTGAGAAAATAATTATTACTTTATAATTATTTTATAAGTAGCCAATTAATGTAAGGAATTTTAAAACATAAAAATATATATTGCGGAGGGAATCCGGGGCATCGGCCGGGGTACGTACTAGTATGTACTCGGGCGATACCCCGGTTTCCCTCCGCAATATATATCCTAATATTTTAAAACTCCTAAGTTTATTAGATAAATATATATTTAGTAAAAAAAAATTATTTAAAAAACACAAACAAATTGTGTTTCCCATGGGTTTTATCTAGTACCTGTAATATGCTACAGTCAAGTGTACGAAGAATAAAATGTGTCGACTTTTGAATCATGATAATTACCTTTCCTAAAAAAAAAAATAAAAAAAAAATCATGATAATTACCTAATAAGCAATCAAAAAAAGCCACGTGGAAAACCAAAATAGACTAACCATCACCAAAAATTAACCAACCATAAACCTTGACGTTTTAATCATTCATCAACTTTCTCTGTTTTTCTATTTAAATATCAAAAAATCTGCCACCATTTTTCTCATCCTCCCAAAAACAGAGACAGCAGCTGAATTACTTAGTTCAGGAGAGAGACACTTCGCCGGGGATTCAAGATTCCGGTGATACATCGCCGGAAAACGTGAATAACTCCGGCGTAAACCCCGATCAGATTCGAAACATCGAGAAAGAAATGAGTCGTAGAGCAGTCAATAGAGGGGAGAAAATCGGACAAGTTAAGACAACGACGACAACAACGACGACGATGACGATGACGATGATGAGAAGGGAGAAAAGGGCGGAGAAGAGATTGGTGAAGTTCGAGGAATTGCCAGAGTATTTGAAAGATAATGAGTACATCTTGGATTATTATCGTTGTGAATGGCCGTTGAAAGATACATTTCTTAGTGTTTTTTGTTGGCATAATGAAACGCTAAATATTTGGACGTTAGTATTTTATTTTTATTTAATTAATTTTATCATTTTTCTTTTTATTTCGTTTTCATTTCAAAGTTTTTTTTTTTCTTTTTTTTCGAGTTATGTTTTTGGTTGTTCACTATTGTATGTAATGATATGTAACAGGCATTTGGGAGGGTTTTTGATATTTGCGACGATGGCGGTGGTGAGTTTGACGGAGGGTACTAAGGGTGGCGGACCTGTTTCTAGTTTTTTCAGGTATTTTTTTCTCTATAAAAAAATTATGTCTTTGTTGTGTTCGTGAAGGGAGTATGTATGAGTTTCGTACTATATATTATAAATAATGTTATTATAATGTAACTGTAAGAGGGATGGATAATAAGTTTTAAAAAATTGTAAAAATAATGATGCATGTTGACATCTTGACAATGTTGTCGTAAGAAGGGAGGTGTTTAAAAAATAAAAGTAGGTATTTTGGTAAAAACAATTTTAAGTATAGCTGTAAGAGTAATAAAAAGATAAAAATTGTTTTGTATTTTGTAATGCAAGTATAATTTTAAATGTAGCCATAAGAGTGTTGGATAAGAACATAAAAAAAGTATATATGGAGGCATGGATAAGAAGAAATAATAACTCTGTAAAGATAAGGTTAAATGTAGCTCTAAGAGTGATGGATAAGAAGGTAAATAATTTCGTAAAAATAATGTCAATTATAGTTGTAACTTGATTGTAAGAGTGATGGATAAAGAAATAAAAATAGTTAGATAAAAATAGGGAAACAAACAAAGCTAAAAATAACAAATTTGATCTTAAAAATAAAAAAATAAATAAAAAATTTGGTACTTCTTAAACACCAAATTGTAAAGTGGCATGAACAAGAAGCAACTGAAATTGTTTTTTTTTTTTTCCTCAATATGTGATGCAATGCACTTGCCTAACACGGTAACACTTGATCCTCTTTAAGTGGATTGGTAGTTATATGAATGATGTATTCTCTTCAACTGAATTGTCGTTATATAATTAAATCATACTCCGTATATAGTTGTAAACTAAACTTATGTAATTGTAAAAAATTATAAGGCTACAAATCTTATCAACATACTTTAATTATATGGAACAGAGCAACTTCAATAGTTGTAGTTAGGGACTTGCTTGCAATATTAAATAATCCCTAGCTACTACCTTAACCATTAGAGCTAGAAAATGCAATTAGCTTGGCCAAGCAAATTAGGTTTGTCAAGCTAATTTGCTTGGAAAAATACTTGCTAAAATAAATTAGAATAATTAAAATGAAATTTATAACGTAAATTAAGGAGGTGTGGTCCATTTAAATAGTAAGCTATTAGCTAACTATCAGAGCTAAAATGACAATTAGCTTAAAAGCTTATGTGGCCTAGCAAGTTAATTTGACAATTAACTACATTAGCTTGCCATTGGAGTTGCTACGGGTCTATTCTTAATTAATTTTTTTTATTTTTTTTTTATTGTAATTTTTTTTTTAAATTTTGAAATAAGCCAAAAAAAAGGTACAGTATGGCTTTTTTTTTTTTTTTAATTTTTTGTTAATTTTTTTAAGAATACAGAAGGGAATATATTGTTGAAAGAGTAAAAGAACAGAAAACAAGATAAACACATTTCCAAGGATTTTCAGTGCTATTATAATGTACTTCAAATGATTATTATAAACTTTCATGCACTGTCTAATTGACTCTTAACGATTCATGGAAGATAGTGGCATTTCCTTAATACAAGTACATTAATTAGATACATACACTTGTGACTTGTCAGCTAAACTAATGGGCCATTTGCAATTACAAAAACTAAAATACCATTTGTCAACCTGAAATGGTGGTGCTCCCCACCGCCGCGTACATGACATAAGGCATATGTGCCGTGCCACGGGCCACAAGGGTGCGTGAAATGCACAGCTTCCATATAAACAATGTACAAGTCTTCTTTCACTGAAATTATTTAGGGCGTGTTCAATAGTAGCTTTGATTAGCTTTTAGACATTTTAAAAAAATAAAAAAAATACAAGGAAAATATATTACGATCAAAACAAGGAAAAAGAGAGAAAGAAAAGATATCATTGTCTCATTATCATCATGAATCAATCATAATATATTTCATGCAAGGTAAAGTGATATAGGATAAAGAATCTAGTCTCTTGAAATAAGGCATTGGTCTAATTTATAAATCTCTGGTCTAATATAATATAATGTCTTTGTCCAACTAAAACTTTGACCATAATTTTACACATATGTATAAGAGTGTATAAGACAATGCATAATTAAGTAAAATTCTAATAGATTTATCTCAATGTGTATAATATAATATAAAAATTAAGTAGTTAATTTTCAATTTTTTTTATATGCAATTAAAAAAAGAATGTAGGGTAGAATCTAAGTATTTGTTTTTGGGCTCAGGTCTACTATTATCGCGACACCATTAATGACCATGTTAACGATGGATAGGAACAACGGCTCAAATAATGTGAATCCGGTGAGTTTTGCTTATCTTGTTTACATATTTGTATCAATGGTTCATTTTAAGTTTAGGGTCGGGCCGGGTTGGTTCATGTAAATCTAGTTTTAAGTTGAATAAAACCGAATTATTAAGATCGAGTGACATCATTTCAACTCAATATCTCCATCAAGCTTATAAAAAGAGAGACACCAAATAAAAGCCATTGTCTATAGTCTTATTCTCCTTAATTTGATTTTGGCACGTATTCCTATGAGTAAAACACAAAAACTTATAATTCCACAATGAGAGTGTCAAAATCAATCCGTGAAGTGACAAAATTTTAAATTCCGAATTTCCGAGATAAGGCTCCTAGATCCTTCTATATTATCACAACCAGTCATCCACCATGTGACCAGGTGGAGATAATGACCCACGAATGATACAAATAGTGAAAAATGGGGGCTTTGATTTTGACGACTTCTTTTGTATTTGTCCCTCATGTGAGGTACTGAGGCAATTGTTGTTTAAATAATTTAGACGGCCTGTTTGCAAATTGTTATATATTGTGTCCTTTCTACTACATTATAATTATAGACTAATAGTTATGCATACCAAGTTATCAACTAATTAACTTCTATAAATGTCCTAGTACCTTTAAATTATCAACGGTTGTACTTGAAAAGAGAAGTTTATACTACTCGTATTATTTATTGTCATATTCACTAGAAAAATTATGTCAACATGAATGAGGAAAAAAAAAGTCTAGTTTTGTTGAAGTCTTCCAAGATTGTGACTAGTGGTTGTGAAACTTGATTTGACATTTGATTGCATGACAATCACTATCGTTATTTGTTAATTCAAAAGATGGATACATGTCGATTTAGACATTATAATTCATTCAAGTTACGTGGTGTTATAATTTTTATGTTTATTTATAAAAATAAGTGTCGTTTTAAGGTTATGTACATTGGCCGAGCATTGTGTTTTGGTTTCATCATAGGCACTAGCACAATGTGCTGTCTAAAATATGACCTTGCCCTGTTACTTTGGATTAAAACATTCATATATTTGATTAATTCTTGAATTGAAGTCGCGGTATAATGCTTATTTCTCTCCTGCAGGGTGAACATTATAGACACTTCTCAGAGTCCTCACTGCTGGACACTAGCACAGAAGGAGCTGAACTCGTACCGATGTGGCCTTGGTTTCTATTTCTAGCAGGTGCAATGTGTTGCTTGGTTTTCAGCTCAGTCTCTCACCTCCTTGCCTGTCATTCAAACCACTTGAGCCGCTTCTTCTGGCGCCTAGACTACGCAGGAATCTCAATCATGATAGTCTGCTCTTACTATGCTCCTGTGTACTACTCTTTCTATTGCCACCCTTTGTCTAGCCTTCTCTATCTCACTTCCATCACAATTCTCGGCGTTCTTGCTATCATCACCCTTCTTACTCCCGCTCTTTCCTCCCCTCATTTTCGTGTTTTTAGAGTCTCCCTTTTCCTTGGCATGGGCTTCACAGGGCTAATCCCTGCTGTTCATGCAGCTGCACTGTTTTTGGATCACCCACAGGTGTTAGTAGCCCTCGGGTATGAGATTCTTATGGGTATCTTATATGCAATCGGAGTTTGGTTTTATGTCAGTCGCGTTCCTGAACGTTGGAAACCAGGTTTCTTTGATCTTGCAGGTCACAGTCATCAGATCTTTCATGTATTCGTTGTCGGTGGGGCTCTCACTCACAGTGCAGCCATTATGGTTATTCTGCACTGGCGACAGGGCATGCCTACCTGTTTTTAGTTTCGGACAACTGATAACATACAGCAGCAGAGAATTCAGTTGTTTGGATCAGAATCAGAAACCTGCAGCAGAAGGAAATGTACTGTATCAATTGTTACTCAAGTTTGTATATTTAAGGCGGAGAATTGAAGGAAATGTCGAAAGAAGCTAGCATCATTCTCATCTGGTATATATTGATAAAACAGGCTATGCTTCTCAGAAACCATATCATATTGTGCAATTATTGGTTGATTGATGTGGTCTTGAAGAGATGATGATAGATGAATCTGTTTCAAGAAACATCTTTTAGCAGTAGGTTTCAACTCTTGGGCTTCGTTTTTTTTGGCGTATGCATAATGTAATATATTGAGCTCAATGTGAGTTTCATGAATATGTGATTGCAGAAAGCGCTCTGTACAATTGAAAGCACAACATTGCATATTTACACTGTTAAGAATGTTTTACAAAAGGTCTTTAAGTCACACCTTGAGGCCTGAGGCTCAGAAAGTGAATGCCAATTTGCCAAAATTCTCTACTTCTACATCAAACAATCTCTATCATCAAAATATTATAAAAAAGGTAGCGTACTACATTGGATAATTTGTACGAAGTACTTCGTATTAACTACTAGCATAAAATTGGAGCAATCTCTAACAGGTATATAAACCAAAGGCGGAAAAAGCAGCTGTATAAAATGTACTTTGCACAACAATGTCAGATGAAATCAGAAGTACACTGCCTTGTCAAAGTATGTTCCTATTGTTTTACTTGTCAGAATGCTGCAGCATATCACAGGGTTGCAAAATGAGGTGGTAAAATGTCCTCTAAAATAAAACCAGGCAGTTGACAAGACTGACAACTAACCTGACCATTGTTCAGCAGCAGTTTCTATAGAAGAGTCCTCTGATTTTCTTCAGACACAATCAGAGAATATTACAATGAAAAAATGTTTCAAACCAAATGTTATATTACTTACGTATCCAAGCATAATAAACTAAATACCGCATAAAATCACAAATACACAAATACATATATATCAATAACTCTCGTCTCCATTTGTTTGCCCCATAACACTTTTATGATTCAAAATTTTAAGAAATTGTCCATAAATTGTCACTAATCTATAGGAAATAATAATCTTGTTGGATTCGTTTTAATTAAAGATGGTTGTGGGTTGTGCTGGCTATACCTTATGCCAAGCTCACTTGCTTTGGGGTTTTAATTTTCAAAAGGCCGACCCATGCACGAGTCAAGCCCACATGCCGAGTTGGGCTATGCTTGCGTGCTCAAGCCAAATCTTATTGATCTTAGTGTACTATGTCGTGCCGAATAGTGCCTTATTGTTCTTTTCCCAAATAAAGGTGGTTTAGGCTCGACACACACAGTAATGCATCATGCCATGCTTCTTTCGTGCTGGATCATGTCGTGTCTCAAACCAACCCGACCCAATGCCATCTTTAATTTCAATATGTACTTTTAAATTATCAAATTTTGTATTCTTCCCATATACCAATATCAAAATATTCACTCCACATTTTAAAGAGTACTTTATGAATTACCCCTTTCATAACATCAAATTAATTCACGGATTTATTAAGAAATGAAAATATAGGGATGTGGCATTTTGTGTGGTTTTTATACGGAGTAGCAAATCTCGCGGTAAGTTAACAAAAAGAGAGATGAGAGAGAATCCCCTCACCCCTCAAAACAACAACCCCCACCTTCACCACCACCACCTCCACCACTACCTCCTCTCCCTCCATCCTTCATAAAAGTCCTCTCCTCCAGTCTCCCCCCTTCACCCACCTCTACCCCTTCTATCAGAAGCGTGAAAATCCATCTACTCTTTCTTTCAAAAATGCTCTTACCGCTTCTTCTTCTCCTATCCTTCCCATCTCTGCTGCTACTTCACCTCCAGTCTCCTTTGACGCTGAAACAGATTTGTTCTTCCCTATAGAAGAATCAGAGTATGCCTCCCTCTGTGAAGTTTGGCATCTAGCTATCATTTCCAAGCCATGTGGAAAATCATTCTCATCGGAGTTTTTTGTTGAGAATATCTCAAAAATATGGAAAACAAAGATGCCCTTCTCAACCTTCCTAATCGGAAAAGGTTTTTCATTTCCAAATTCAGTCCTCAAGAAGACTTTGACAAAGTCTTAAAATCAGGTCCGTGGTTTATCAATGGAACCTTTATCTCAGTGTGCAAATGGATGGATGCTAGGCTTTAAACCGTCCACTGCACCCTCTCACATGATTCCAGTTTGGGTCGAATTACCAGAACTTCCGGCAAACCTCCTGTCCAGAATAGGAAATACCCTAGAATAATCTCAGTTCGAGAAAATCATTATTTGCTGCCTCTCTGCATTGACAGTTAAATCTAACCAAATGCTATTCAGCAGATATTGATCCATCGCCAGAAAATAGAGGAGAAAACTCAGGTACTTTAAATCCTTTTAGAAACGGATACATCCCATCAATCCATTCAGGATAAAGGTTACAAGTACCCCTCCTTTGAAAACCAGCATTTTGGCCCATTGCTCTTTGGATCATGTCCTCTACTTGCCTTAGAAGAGGCTCATTCTGAGGAATCTTCCCCATAGGCATGTAGGGATTTTGTCCCAAATGAACATTAGGGTACTGATTCTCATGTTGGAATGCAAAATTTGGGATATTCCCATGAGGATTCTGAGTATTTTTGACTCCATGAGGGAACCCACCAAAATTATTAGGGTTTTGTGCTCCCATCGCTGGATAACCATCATGTTGCAAGTTACCCTGCCCCCAGCGATTACCTTGAGGAGGGTGTGCTGTATTAGGGTAGCCTTGATGATGGTAATTATGATTCCCAGGTTAAGGAAAATGATTATGAGGTGGTTCATGACAACCAAATTGGTGATTTGGTGGAGCCTGAGTATGTGCAACAGTTTGAGTATTTTTTGCTACATAAGGCACAATGATTGGCGCCAACAGAAACACCATGTGTTCCCACAGGAGGAACATGTCCCATTGAAGAAGTTAATGGGTAAAAAGTTTGTGGAGGAAGAGAAGAAGAAGGCCCCGGATCATTTTGGTTATAGCCTGACTCATAACCTGAACTTAACCTAACCTCTCTTCTCTGACTCTTGCCCCCTTCATAAGCACCAAGGGGAGGGAGACTCCTTGGAACCGTCTGAAAGGGTGGATGGACATGAGATCCCATCAAATTGTTTGTTCTAGGATAACCTAATGGAGGATTCTCCCTTAAGTTTTCGACAGTTATTCCTGAACCATGGGTAGTTAAGACATTCGTCTATCAACTTCCCATTAAGTTGGTTATGTTTTTCCACCAATGGTTCCAACTTGGTAACTACCTCAGTTGCTACACTCTTAGACAATGCCACGTTTGTCGCATTTAGTGTATCGTTGATATCCAAAATAATCCTATCCACCTTCCTGGTAATTGCCTCCTGGGTCTGAGAACTGAAGTATTGTAACGCAGTTTCTTGCACCATGCCACGATGGAGATTATTAAACTGTTCTTTATTATTTTCTTTTAGATCCTCCATCAAACTTTTAATAATATCCACATATTTTGTGTATATTGAATTGAGCAAGTTTCTAGTAGGAGAATGACTTTCCCTCCTGTTTAGTTGCAACTCCTCTTGCCTTTGTGTATGAGGCTCGGGTTGCTCACAGAGGGTAAAACCTTCATCGGATGATCGAACAGTTTCAATATCATTAAGATCCTTAAACAAATTCTCAGGATTTGGATCGGATGAATTTGCATCCTCCTGATTATTGCCTTTATGAGTGGATCATTTAGGAGCCATGAGGGAAAACTTTTCTAAATCAAAAAAATATGAATTAGTGATTTAGATTTTGACAATTACTCCCACTGTGGTCGCCAAAAAACTTGTTGAGGTGATTTTGCACTTCACCAACAAGTCAAACACCCAATATTGTTTTTGGTGTGCTAGGGGGCTGCCCCTCTGTTTATTGATTATATTGAATAACCTCGCGAACGTAAATGCTCCTAAAACGACTAACAATGGTTTAAGAAGGTAGTTAAACTTAAGAGATTACACTAGAAGTGGAATGCAAACTGAAGTTAGAACAAACGAATTTAGATTAAAGATGCAAATACCTTTCATTATTATAAAAGGATAAAGTCAGACTACAATCGTATTACAAGGAAGAGTGGTTACCTCCATGTTCACACAATTGGAAAGAGAAATGCTTCCTAGTGAGGCATAGTAATTAACTAACTATGCTAAACTAATCTAAACTAAACATGGCTGAGAAGCCAAGTGAAACTAGAGAAAGCAGTAAAATGCGAAAAAAGATAGTTGTTGTTGATGTGTTTGTTGTTCTTTCCTTCTGATCTTCTCGTGCTATTTATAGAGAGTGGAGGTTGGAGATCATGGGGTTGATGGTAGTTATCTCATTCAGTGCCAACTTCCTTTGAATTTGATCTTCCCTCCTCTTTCCTTCACTTCAGTTCGCGTCCTTAGTGGGCTCAACTCTTCACATGTTGGGCCTGTAAACTTGGGCTGTTGCATAATTGTACCTTTATCTAGAGCCAAACCTTTTCTGGTGCTAGTGTACCATCGCTAGTTAGGTTTGGTTAGACATACTTTTGGGGTCATTGTCAAATAGTCAAACTCTTAGTCAACTAAAGTCAACTGAGATATTCTGATCATTAACAAGGATAAACACCAAAATATGCAAAAAATTCCTTCCAAAAATCCAAATAAACCATAAACTTCACTCATCATTCAACAAAAACAATCAAATAATCACAAATTAACCATCAATTTCAACTAATACATACAACGAAACAATCCAACAACATCAAAGTCATAGCATTCAAGAACAAAGCATTCGAATCTAGCAAGTGAAACAAGTATATTCAACAAACCAAGCAATTTCAAGCATAACGATTCAATGTATAACATCTAATAACAAGTTTAAGAACAAGAAATTTTACCAAAGATCGCCAAAAAGTGAGAATGATTTGGAAGAACAACTTGCAAAGAAAAACCCGCGAAACCGACGTTGCTTACAAATGCTAAAGATTAAGAAGAGGATTGAAAGAATTATATGCAAAGGATGGAAGATTGAAAGTGTATAAGGATTTCAATGAAAATTGAATGAGAATTGAGAGTTTGGAGGGGAGAAATAGGGGGTTTGAGTTGTGGTTTTGAGGAGTGAGAAAGTGAGGATGAGTGTTGAGATGAATTTGGGATGAATATCGGGCAAAAAAGGAAGAAAATAAGCTAATTTGGGCTGACCATAGGAAAGGTGCGTGCGCACCTGTAGTTATTTTGGGGTAATTTGATTGCAATAGGTCCGTGCGCACCTAATGGAGGGTGCATGCGCACCTAAGGCTTGATTTTTCTCATTTTGCTTGCTATGCGCACCTCTAAGTGGTGAGAGCTCACCTTAGGCTCGATATTTGCACAATAATCATCAAAAATTGAGCTCATGCTCACCTCGTCTTGGTGAGAGCTCACCCTAGGCTCGACATTTCACTCAAACTTAACATGCAAACACCAAATGCATCAAATTCATCCCAATAAACCTAATGCCAACCAAGATCATTCAAACACATCATCCCTCATGATCAAAATACTCAAATGCACACAAGATTATGCACATCAAAAACTCAAATTCTCAAACCAACATGAACCAAACACATCCAAGCACAACGAAGTTCCCAAAGAAGGAATATTTGCAACCACCAAACAAAGTAAAACAAAACAAAATGAAGAGAAAAGTTAGAAACTCGGTTGCCTCTCGGAAGCGCTAGTTTAACGTCACTTAGCTTCGAGGTACCATTCCCCTCTTAAGGGGGATCCTTAAGAATCAAGAATCAAAGTAGTGCACGGGGGGTATGCATGTGAGCATCATCAACATAATCGTCACAAAAATACTGCAAACATATGCATTTTGATTAAAGCATTACCATGCAAACTTACCGATCAATCCAATCATGCAAAGGTTGACAATTAACATCAAACTAGTACCATGCAAAACTGATCAAAACTTGATCATAACATGCAAAACTTTACCATGGTCAAATTTGCAACAACAAGGAATCATTTACTAACCCTTTAATAAGGTTTTTGAAATTCCCACCAAAATGCATACAAATGCTATTAATCATGGTGGCCTTTGATTTACAATCACGATTCATATACCAACTCAAAAAGTTGATCTTCACACTTACAATCCATGTAAGTCATAATACGAAGTATTATATCAGAATCAAATTTATTCATCGTATCCCTTGCCAACACCGTACCCATTTCATGAACAATTACATGATTTTAACCAATCAACTAGTGGAGATAAAGTCAGAGAATATCTTAGCTAATGTTCCTAAACTGTTGAACGATTGCAGGGACCTGCTAAGGGAGCTCCCCCTTCTGGAATTGCGCTTTGAAGATCGCAGATTCAATGCAATATGTCACGTGCCGACTACTTTGCCCTAGTCACGCACCGTGCGCCACCCGCTTACAGTCCGTCGTAAGACGAGTCAGGCTTTCTCCTTGGCACTTACTCCTTGTGCCCACGTAGCACAACTCCTTGTGCTGCTAGTATAAGTTTGCTAGCACGATCCCTTTGTGCTAACAAGTCCTCTTTAGTTGAACTAAGCACTCACCCTTAGTGCCTTAGTCCGAATTTACGACTAAGTGTCGTAGACAATTGAGCACCCAAGCTATCACCCTTGCTGGTATGCCCGATCACTCACTTGGCACCCTCATGCCTTAGTTTTCCTCACACTCTCTAAGTGTTTGAAGAAAAGAGATTGAGTTGCAAGAGAACACAAGTGCTTTTGGAATGCCTTTTGTATTGCTCTCAACTTATAGCTCTTAACTTGTTGATCTCCCAATTTGAATGTACAAATGAGCCTTGGAGCTTATTTATAGTGCTCCATCCTACTTACATGCTTCTCTAGAAAATTCCTAACCTCCTCAAATGGAGGGTTCTAGACTACAACAATCTAGAGAGTTCCCACCTCCAAAGGAACATACATACAAGGAGGTTTCTACATACTTCCTACCTAGAATGTTAAGGACTACCCTAGAACATTCTAGAACTTTACAAGAGTTATGTACATATGTAGAGAGACCTAAAAGACTCCTAATATGTACCAGACCTTCCTTGATTATTCTAGAGTCATCCACTCTAGAATAGTCTTCAAAAGAACCTCGTAGATAGCTCCGGAACCTTCTAGAAGCATCTCGCGTTTTCCGGACTACCTGCTGCCAAAACTCGTATTTCGGGACCTTGTCTCGGAAAACTGACACCACCATCGTCTTCCTTGGCCCAAAATACTGTGGACCCCCAAATTTGGGCCCATTTGGACTTCATTTGGGTCTCCAAACGACCCATTATTGTGTTACTGTCAAGTGGGTGTTCACTAGGATTTTAAGCAAGGTGCAATATAAAACTCTTTAGGGGGAAGTGCTTACCTGAGCACCAAGGCAAGCCCCCTAGCCCCGATTGTTGCCTTGCTGCCTAGTGACCCTCTTGACGCCCATCCTTGGTGTGGGAGATGACCCGTGACAAATAGCTGACTTAGTTGCGAAAGATGCTAGAAGTAGCTTGGAAGCCATGAACTTCATATGTATTTTGCCCCAACCACCCTCGGCCTGTACCGTAGCTTTTGACAAGAAAAATTATCTATTTTTGTAAAAACTTAAACTCTGATTCTGTTGGTGATGTCCCAGCCAATACTCTTATTTTTATAACTAACGCTTAAGTTGCTTCTTTCGCTAAAAAAAAAAATAAATAAAGAAAAAAATCTCGCGTGGTCTAAAAATACAGTATACCAAAATATCTCCCCCCAAATTTCCCACCCTCCCAAAATATCAGCTCAGCTAACTCGCGAAAAACAGAAACAGCAAAGTTAGTTAAGATTTAAGAACAGAAACTACGCCGGAAATTTCAATTTCCCGATGATTCATCGCCGGAAACCCTAAAAATCCGATCAGATCCACAGAAATGAGCCGTAAATCAGTCAACAAACGAGAAAAAATCGATCGAGTTACGATAACGACGACGACGATGAGAGTGAAAAAGGTGGAGAAGAGATTATTGAAGTACGATGAATTGCCGGATTATATGAAAGATAACGATTTCATCTTAGATTATTATCGTTGTGAATGGCCATTGAAAGATACATTTCTCAGCGTTTTTTGTTGGCATAATGAAACGCTCAACATTTGGACGTTAGTAATTTTATTAATTTCGTCAATTTGTTTTCAATTCAATCATTTGTTGTTAATTTTTGATTGTTTGATTTGTATTTAATGATGTGAAATAGGCATTTGGGAGGGTTTTTGATATTCGCGGCGATGGCGGTGGCGACATTGATGGAGAGTTCAAAGGGTGATGGAGCTATTTCCAATTTTCTGAGGTATTTTTGTTTTTAATTTTTCTATTTTTGTTAGGTAAAAGAAGCTTGAGAAGTTTGTTATAAATGCTTAGCTAGTTGTTTGAAAATTTTACATTTTTTTAGTGCTTCAGGTTGATCGGCGCATATGTCATATGTCAATTGGAACTTTGACTAATGATATCTTTAATTATAGGGCTTTTGAGATAGGTAGAAGATGAATAGGAAGAAGTATAGGGCCTCTACTGTCTAACTTGTTTATATCTTTTTGTCAAAACTAAAACTAGTGTTTTTATTGGCTTTTGTTTGAACTAAGATTTCTTACAATATTGGAACAAAGGATGTGGGGGAAACAACAAACAAGTAGAAATTAACACCTACTGATTAGAGTTAACTTTGAAAATCTTTATTGCCTCGGAGTGACTAATTTGGTGCCAACCTTTTAAACAAAGATTAATGTATTCTTCATCTATTTTGAAAATTGTAATTTTGAGACGGGTGTAAACAAGAGTGTGTTCATCTTTATTTTAATTTGAAAGACACAAGGTTTTTAGTTTTTGACTTGTCTTCCTTATATAATGCAAAAATATCAATAAGATGTATATCAAATCGAAACTAATCTCTCACAACTACATAAATTACTATACCACAACTACATAAGTTACCACAATGCAGCTAAAGCTCAACTATATTTTTCTTCTGCCCTCTCCTTCCTTCACTCCTTACTCTCTTTTGATCAAATAATCTAGTTTTGCGCTATTTAGGATATTTTCTACTTGTTCATGTTTCCATTATTAGTTGGTGGTGAATTGATTATGTGTTTGCTTCTATCGTTCAGTGGTAGTGAACCTATATTCTCTTTGCCTCCTTTCACATCCTCTCCCCTTCTTTGACCCTCTACTTCTTTCTTAAATGCTGACAAAAAAGCTAGCCTATATGCCAAATTCCACCAAGCAACTTATGGTAGTGCTCCTAGACACATCTATCTTCAAGAGGTTGTATCAATTGACAAATTAACCTAAATCAATCCCTTAAAGATAAAATTGTAGTTTAAGATTATAGCAGACATCATTCATTTTTACCATGGGAACTCATCACCTCATCTCAATCCAAGTTGTTTATAAGGAGAGAAAAAATAATGCAAAGGTAGTTTTTGAGTGGTAACTGGTAAAACTGCAGTTAGAATTTGAAGGAAAAGCTATAAGCCTTTTTACAACTTAAACAACAATTTATGAAACAAGATCATGATACATATTAATTGACCAGATAAAGAGGACAAGAGAAAGAATGATGTACCAATCAGGGAAAGTCAGTACGTACAGATGTATCTGCACAATACATTTAAAGAGACTTTTAGAACTCTAGCTATGGGATGGAAAATACGTACGGTTGATTTAGTTGCCAGTTTTTGAGGAGGAGAGAAATTTTTTGGAGAAGAATGCCTACTAATTGATTATCATGATTTACCAATCATATCATTGCTATAAGATAAATTTGTTACCTTCACCTTAAAAAACGTATTTGTCTTATTTTTATTAATGTTTGGTCTAATACGACTAAACATTGACCATATGTTTACATTTACGTACAAGAAAAATACATTATCACAATGTGTATGATCAAGATAACTAATTTTCATATTATTTTATTAATACACAATCTAAGATACTTAGTAATAATTAAATAAAAATATAAACATTTGGACTAATTCTTTCTGGTGTAGTTTGATCCATTCTTATTATAGCTAAAAAATGTAATAAGATTTTGAAATGAGATGAAGAGAACAAAATTAAAATGTCTAGTTTTAATGTATGATGGAATCTAAACTTTTGATTGTCGGCCCAGGACTTCTTTCATCGCAACACCATTGATGACAATGTTGACAATGAATCGGAACAATGGCTCGAGAAATACGACTCAGGTGAGTTTCACTTATTTCCGCTTCCAATTTTGTATATCGAATATTTTATCAATGTGTCATTTTCATTTTTGAGCCAACTTGGTTCAAGAAAAGGTCTTGAACAATATGAATTAATTGAATCATTAAGGTCAATTTAATTTGTTTCAACTCAATATTTTCAAACTTATAAAGACTGAGACAGTGAGTTGATAGATTAACCATTAATCATTGTCCATTGGTAGACATAGTTTTTCTGAGAAACTGATTCTGACACTCTTTAGTTAGTAGAGTAAGGAAAACTGTGCTCTCACAATGGGAGTGCCAAAATAATTTTCCTTTTTTCCTAGATAATTCCCTTAGACTCATCCATCCTGCTCCAACCAGTCACCCACCATGTGATCGGGTGGGATTGTGACCCACAAATGTTACAATTCGAACAAATAGCGAATATGGTGGGTTTTATTTGCTTCTTTTGTAATTTATGGCTTTTATGAGGAGAGAAATAATTAAAAATGTAGTAGTGGATTTTAATAATATAAAGATAGTAGCATTTTTCCAAAAAAAGAAAATGTGTCACTTTTTAAAAAAGGGAGGTTTAAGGAAAGTGTGTCACTTAAAAAAAAATGAAGGGAGTATCTTTTTATCTAAGAAACAATGAAGATCACTATTGCTATTGATTAATACTTCGTATAAAAGATATATACACATCGATCTAGAAATTGTATTCATTAAAAAAAAAAAAAAAAAAAAAAAAGGGGAAAAAAGCTCCATATTATGTAATGCAACAAAAGGCTGAACCAAGTATCATTTCAGGGTCATGTCTTATGCACATTGGCTGAGCGTTGTGTTTTGGTTTCATCATTAGCCTTACACAATATGGAGCCTAGAAACAGTGTTACTTTGGATTGAAACAGTGTTATTGATTCCCCTAGCTGCGGGGACGCCTTAAGCATTAAGTCAATATACCTCTGAGGCTCTGAGTGAATATATTGATTCTTTTTTGCCTTCTCCACTGTAGTGTAAAACTTGAACAGAGCAATCTTTCAAACTCTTCAAGAGAATATGTAAGCCAAAGAAAATAGGCCAAAAAGAAAAACTAGTTCTAGCACAAGTTTAAAAATTCATAGAGGCATTCATATTTGGTTAAGTCTTGAACTGAACTCATGTTAATGCTTATTTCTCATGCAGGGTGGACATCATGGGAACTTCTCAGAGTCCTCACTGTTAGACACCAGCGCAGAAGGCACTGAACTCGTACCACTGTGGCCTTGGTTCGTCTTTCTAGCAGGGGCAATGTGTTGCTTGGTTTTCAGCTCTGTCTCTCATCTCCTTGCCTGCCATTCAAAGCGCCTGACCCGCTTCTTCTGGAGTCTTGACTATGCCGGCATCTCAGTCATGATAGTCTGCTCTTTCTACGCCCCAGTTTACTACTGCTTCTATTGCCAACCTTTGTTTAGCCTTTTCTATCTCACTTCCATCACCATTCTTGGCATTCTTGCTATTATCACCCTCTTCACTCCCTCTCTCGCCCAACCTCAATTCCGTGCTTTTAGGGCCTGCCTCTTTCTTGGAATGGGCTTCTCTGGGCTGATTCCTTCGGTTCATGCAACTGCACTCCATTGGGATCATCCACAGCTGTTAGTAGCCCTTGGGTATGAGGTTCTTATGGGTATCTTATATGCCACCGGAGCTTGGTTTTATGTCAGCAGGGTTCCTGAACGATGGAAACCAGGTTTCTTTGATCTTGCAGGACACAGTCATCAGATCTTTCATGTGTTTGTTGTCGGAGCGGCTCTTACTCATAGTGCAGCCATTATGATTCTTCTGCACTGGCGACAGGGCACGCCTACTTGTTTGTAGTTGGTAAACAACAGATAACAGCAGCAAAAAGTTCAGCTGATTGGATTATAATCAGGAACTTGTAGCAGATATATCCTTCATTCTTTAAAGGATTTAGATAGAAGTACTGAATCGATTGTCACTCAAATTTGTAAATGTTTAATTGATGTGGTCTTGATTCTTGAAGAGGAGGATAATGATAAATACTTTTGTTTCAAGAAACATCAATTAGCTGTAGGTAAATTTCGTGCTTCATTTTTTAGTGTATGAATAATGTAATACTCTGAGCTCAATGCAAGTATCATAGATATATACGAAGTATATGATTGCAGAAAACGTACTGTTCAATTGAAAGCACAGCATTGCATATTAACACTGTTAAAAAGTCTTTTACAAAAGGACCTTCAGCCACACCCTGAGGCTGAAGAGGAAAAAATGAATGCAAAATTGGCAAACAAAAAACAAAAAAAAAATAAAAAATAAAAAAAAAATAAAAAAAAAATAGTAAGACTCTTTCCCAGCTCTATCTTATTCTCTACTTGTACATTAAACAATTTCTATCAACAAAATATTACACAAATTGCACTACATTGGATTATTTGTATTGTCTAGCATAAAAAAGGAGCAGTCCATTGTGCCATGGTATGGTTGAACCTCCATTGCAAGCATGCTCGTGAACTTGAAACACTTGGTATACACTACTTCCAAGTATAAACCAAAAGCACCTGTATAATGTATGCTTTGCATAACCAAGTCAGATCTGAACCAAAAGCATACTGCTTTTCAACATATGCTCCTATTGATCACTTGTTAGACTGCTGCTGCACATCACGAGTGGCGAAATGTGTTTGCAGAATTCTCTCTATCAACAAAACTATCTCATTAACTAGTTACCTCAACAATTTCAACGTCATTGTCACTGTAATCTCCCCAACATTTACTCGGTTTTTTCTCAACTATGGTATGCTCATTTCTTGCTTCGGCAGCCACATCAACATCATCAGATAGAGCTGCTTTTGCAACAGGAAACTCTTTAGTCCCAGTTTTACCATTTACAGCTTCAGGTTTTTCCTCCCCTACTAGCTTATTCAAGGCAGCTGTTTCTAATAAAGGGTTCTCAGAATTTTCTTCAGTCACAACCTGATCATTGTTTTCAGCAGCAGTTTCAAACGAAGTGTTCTCTGATATTTCTTCAGTCACAACCAGATCATTGTTTTCAGTAGCAGTGTCGGACGAAAAGGTCTCCAATTTTTCTTTAGTCGCGAGACTCGCAACCTGGTTGTTTTCAGCAGCAGTTTCTAACGAAGATTTTTCCGATGGTCCTTCAGTTACAACCTGATCAGTGTTTTCAACAGCAGTTTCAACAGGTGCAGCATCAGTGGACTCCGAAGAACCATTAGGAGATCCAGGGAACCCATTTTGAGCCTCTGGAATGCCATTTAAGGAGGGAAGGTAATTATTAGGCGACGCAGCAACACCATTAGGAGGCATAGTAGCATAACCAGTTGGAGATATTGGCATCCCATTTGATGGACCCATATAACCATTTGGGCTTACAGGGTATCCATTTGGAAGCCATGATGGAACAGGAACAAACTCTGCCGCATGTGGGTTCATTATTAAAGGAGGATTGAAGTGGTTTACATCGCCAATATGTTCTCCATTGTGAATTCCAGGTTTTAGGCGGTTCCCCCTGTTCCCAGACCTGTTATAATTCCCAGATAACCGTGGGCCATAAGGTACTCTGGCAGTAGCTGATTGATGGGGTGATCTACGGACAGGATTAACAGCCATCATAGGTGTTATATTTACTGGTGGGGGTAGTATTCCACCATGGTCTTTGAAACCTTGAACTGGCACAGACCCAAAAACTGGTACAGTCGATGGAGTATAAGGAGGGGCTGATGCAGAAAGTTTCTTAGTTGATTCCTTCCCACTTTCTTCTCCTTCCTGTTTCTCCCCTTCTGTTGTAGAAGGAATTCCATCGCTTTCTAGTATTACTTCACTGCTGATTCCAATTGAAAGAGGCTGAGAGTCCAATAAACCTGCTGCCTCTGATTCTGAGCTTTTTGTTTTTTCTGTGTCTCTGTTTTCCAAAGTTTCATCATCCTTCAGATCTGAGGTCAATACAGTACTCAAACTTCCAGCTTCAGCACTTGTTCGGACCCGAATCTCTGTATCCTTGATCGTACCGGTTTTAACTTCACTTGGCAGTACCTTTTCTGGGCCATCTCCAGATTTTCTTTCTTCATTACTGGTAGTTTCTTCCACTTTCTCATCCTTAGGCCTCTGAGCTGTCTCTTCATCTGTAAACTCAACTGATGCTTTTTCTTCAGATTGAGTTGGTTCTGGACCAGTGATTTCCTCCTTATTTGATTGTTCTGCAACTGCCTTAACTATTGTTCCAGGTGGGGCAAGAGCAACTTCTTTATACGAGAAAAGTTTTCCACCTGTCTGAATATTAATTGCACTTGCAAGAGGAGGTGACTTGGGAATTTGCTCAATCAAAGCTGGACTAGCTGGTGCAGGCTTGGTATTTACCACTTTCTCAGTTGCAGCAACTGAGGTGGCCGTGTTATTTTGCTTTGGACTAAAGCTTGTACTCTTGGTAAATTTTTTGGGGACTGATGGACTTATAACAGAAGACTCATTTGATGGAGTTTTCGGGGATGTAAAATTTGCACCCTTCCCTCGAAATCGAGTGTGTTGTTGGTTCACAAAATTTGTATTGAGTTTTGCTAAGCTTGGCCTCCGTGAAGTAGAAGGCTTGCGGCTTGTAGTTGACCGGCTTTTAGGAACAGCTTCTTGCCATCCTTCATCTGAAGTGTCATCTTGTGACTGATCATCATTCAGGATGGTTACGGTTTGGACACCCAGATTGTCTTCTTTTTCATGTGCAGGCTCAGAAAGATTAGGTTCGGATTTATTTTCCTTGTCATTGCTGCTCTCAGCTTGATAAATGGGTGATATGTTTTCATCTTTGGGTGACTCATCTTCAACTGTTTCCCAGGTTTGCCCAGGTTTGCTCTTGACCTGTAAGTTTATTGTGTACTCAGTCAGTATCTAGCATTAATACTGAGACAATTTTGGTAGAAACAAATAGTACTATAATCACCTTTGCACGAGCTTGTTTTCTTTGGGCTTCTCTTGCTCTTAGTTCTGCTTCTGGGGTTATATAGTCCAGAAGATCTGATACACTGTTTTGGAATTCATAAACCCAAACATGATACATTAGATGAAAAGATAAGCCTCAAAATAATCTGTCAATACAATAGTCCATTTCTGGAAGTCATACTCAAACTTTCTGTGGCCGGTGAAAATACTATACAGATACTCCCTTTCCAATTTTAATAGGCCAGATTTAATCCAAAGATACTTTTAAAACACTGAATTGATTCCATGTATATTCTTCTCGATATAAGTTCTTACGTATTCACCAGGCCACAGCCCACAAGTAGTATGGGCAGGTACCGCAGGTTAAAAGTTTAACTTGCTTAAATTAGAAAGGGCAACCAAAATATAATCCAGGCTTATTATTAAAGATATATCCATGGAAGGAGTATCAGATAAAGTAATAAAGGTCGATAACATTTAACTGAAAACAAATTGCTATCATTCTTCATTAATTTATATTTGGAAGATGAAGACTTATGCACTTATTATGCTATTAGTTTTGAGATAAGATATTGGAAAGTTAGGAATCGTTGAAATATTGAGTACCTCAGGTGGCCTTTGCTAGAAATGGAGGCATCAGGCTTTGGGGTGCCATTACGAGCAGCTTCTTGCTGCTCTAGCGCCTTGGATTCAAAATATTCAAGCCATGCAGCCGCATCCTACAAAATATTTATGGATTGAATCTATGCTCTGAGGGCTGTGATGACAAATCTTGAAGATTTCAAATATATTTACCTGAGTTCGTAGGTCTTCTGATCCAAGTTTTGCCTGCAGAATTTGTAGAGTGGTCTGCTCATGCTGAACACTTAAGGAGTAAGCCTCCATCAAAGAAAGAGCAATAGCAATGGCATGATAACTCGCTGCAGTCTGTATGACAGAGATGGAAACAATAGTTTAAAATATTTTTGAGTACAAGAGAGTTGAGTCAGTTGACTGAAGAATAATCATTGAAACAAGAAGAGGGAGATGAGAAAGACCTGGATATGATCAGCTCCAAGAAGTCTCTGGTTACACTTTAGAGCCTCATGAAGATATCTCAATGCAACATGAACATTCCCCAAACCTTCTTCCATCATTGCCACATTAATATATGTGGCAGCAGTGTTTGGATGTGAAGGACCACAGGTTAGATGCAACAGATATAGTGCACGATTGACATATCTGGATCAGCAAAATATGGTGAACAGTTAGGTGTATTCAGCAACTTTCTGAAAAAAGCTATATGAATTATGCACAATAGTAGAATACGGCAATGGATGACAATCATGACATCCCTTGACTATATAGGATTAATCATAGGTTTGGTACTATATCCAACAGACTCAAAATGATTGAACAGTAACAAGAAAAGACACCACTTCAGACTATCTTAAGAAGGTGCCCCAAAAACTTGAGATTATTCCTGAATTTCTGAAAGGTCATTTTTTCCAAAGTTGGTAAATTACTCCAGTGAATCTTCTTTCTTTTTTTTACAAGGAACATTCTCAAAACATTTCAAGGCATATGCCAAGCCAATCATATAACACACCACCCATGAAAGATTGGATATTGCCCCAGGTTCAATAAGACTTGGAAGTTAACCCAGGCTGCAATCAGAGACGAGACTGGGGCTGTTGAAAACTTGAAATTATAATAGCGATGAGAAAGGGGAAAGAATAACTTGTATTCAATCCGACTCATAAAGGATTACAACTAGCCTTAAATGGAGAGTAAATTAACTTAATGAAGCAAATAATCCTACAAACAAACAACTAATACAATTACTACTAATAATGTGGAATAGGTAACTCCCCACTAGTCCATTACCACACTAACTTAATAAATGCAAAACTAGTAGTAACTAAAAATAAGGAAGTACTATCTTCCACTGACCACCATAATTTGAAGCATTACATCCGACAAGGGCTACTGTGTGCTGCAGGTGTGCATCAGGTCAGCGAGAGGTTGTGTGCTGAGCGTGCAGAAACTACTGCTGCCAGCTTTGGTGTAAGGATTGTGAAAAGGTTTGGGTTCAAGGATTATTTAGAGAGCCATGCAGTGAATGAGCAAGTAATTCACAATGGTTGTAAGGGTCACTCCTTTAGACTTTTTTTTTTTCCAATTATGTTAGCAAAGATAGGCTACACTTTGGTATGTTCGTTTGTAATAGACTAACCTAAGGAGGGGTATTATGGGTATTCTAGTAATATTACTTTACTGGGTTAATAGTCCTTGGTATAAATAGAGAGGGAGGGGGAAGAAAACGGTAGGCAGAATTTTGGAGAAAATCCTTGAGAGAGTTGCGACCTCAAGTCACTATATGGAGAGTTGTGGCCTCAAGTCACTATAGAGCTTGATAGGCTAAACCTATCGATTGTGTAGACCGTAGTTTTGTTAATTAAAGCCTCAACCTTTCTTCTCTATTTAATTGTTTTATTGCATTTCTCTGTTATTTGGTTGTGCTTGGCCGGAATCTATAACATAGTTCTCATGCGAAAAGGGTGGGGAATGCTGAATACGGCAGCCCACCTAGTGGAAAGATGGGACGCATATTAACTTGGTACAAGTGAATCTCCCCAAAGTGACGTATTTGGTGGAGCTTGATTTGATACAAGCTTAATAATTTCTTCATTAGAAGGAAAAAAAAAATCACAATTGTGTACAGCATTCTTTTTGCTAAAATTTCAGGGTAATAACTAATCTCCTTTTCTCATTTTATATTAGAAATAAGAAACTACTTGCAATGAATCTAGAGTTTGAACATTGCAGAAACTGCAGCCAATGTAAAAGCCCTCAAGCAAAAACAATAATAACAGGAAAAAAATTAAATGCTCACTTTAGGGCTAGTTCTGTATGCTGAAGACGGTAGTAGAACACAGCTAAATCTCCATAACTCTTCATTGTGTCAGGATGATCAAGTCCAAGCTCTCTTTCATTGATGTCCAATGCTTTTTGCTGGTAAATTGTAGCCTACATAATATAATGTAGATCAATTAAAGCCAATTATTAATAGTGAGAAAATGGAAGATGTTTGTACTTTTTTCAGTCATATTATTCATGAGGATGCTGCTACTAGGAATACTATTTACAAGAAATGTTCCGGTCCTTATTCATAGCATTTAGCAGATGCTTCAGTTTTTCAAGCTAAAATATTCTCTGATACATTCAAGTTCTCTAATGTGTATGGCTTATATTTAGAGGAATTGTTCAGGAGCTTTTCATAGCAGTTAGCAGATGCTTCAGTGTTTCATGCTGAAGTATTCTTTGATACATTAAAATTCTCTAATTCATACAGCTCCAGTATAGTTCAATGCTAGTTCTACAAGCTTAATTTGAACAGGAACAACAAACTTCGATATGTAAAGAATCTAATCCCTTGGTAACATTTAGTACAAATTGCCCCAAAAGTTGAATGAGGGTCAACACTCAATGCCTGACTCAATTTGTTATATGCATATATATATAAAGTTCCTTAAAACTAGACTTAAGTTCACAAGTCACATACCTGATTGAAATCTCCGGTATGGTAGAGCACAACCGCTAAAAGACTATATGCTCCGGCAGTCATGCGATGATAAGGACCACAAACTGAAACGAGCTTGGAGAGTGCCTACACATATAAACAGGAATTAAAACCGTTAGGTTTAGTAAAAGCTTTTCTTAACTTAATTTGCATGAAAAAGAAAATATCGAAACCTTAGTCCCATAGTTGACAGCATCTTCCAATTTGCCTTTGTCCAAGGAAGTTTTTGATGACTCTAGCAGTGTACGCCCATCAGCAGAAGAACAAGCGACATGCTGCAGAATCAAACTTATAAGTAAATACAACAAAAGGATATCTTAAAATAAAAAAAAAAAAAAAATTAAGTAAGTTCTGTGACCTTATATACAGGAATCATGCTTATGATGTCTGACTTCCTAAATGGGCAGCTGGTGTCCACTTCATAGTCTCTTGGAACAAGCTCAAGTCCAACCTGCCAAAAATGACTCCAAAAGTTCAGAGAAATAGAGCACAAGAATATTAGGGAAAGTTTTATAATATGGTTTAGTGGTGAAATTCTTCTAACTACTCTCTTTTGAAAAGTTGTCACCTTTCACAAAAATGATTTATGATTGGATTTCTGAATATGCCTTAATTAAAATTTAGAGGCGGGAAAACATGTCCGAAATCACAGCAATCATAGAGAGTAAGACGTCGGAAGTTTGGGACAAAGTGACAACAAATTCAGGACAGAGGGAGTATATGACATGGTTAACAAAATGAACCTTGTGGCTAAGCCCACGGAGGATGGCAAACTTTCTAAGATCTTGACAGGTTTCCTGTTTCCACTGCCAACCAAACCTCTTCAAAAGAAATGTTTCCACCCATTTCTGTTTCAGGTTATCATCATTGACAATTTCTTCGTCAGCACTCTCAGAACATGGTGATCCAAGCAATACATTTAAGCATGCTGCTACTGCACTTGACAATTCAGCAGCATCATTAACTGCCGCAACAACAGCTTGCAATACATGTTTATAGGCTCGAACAATCATTTCATGCACACACAGAGACTGTACATGTGGAAGTTTGTCCGCAAGTTCAACCTGGAAAAGGAGGCAAAACAATAAGATATGGCCTCAAAAATCATGCTAATCATTAAGCATAAACATAGTCAGAATGAATATAATGAAGATAACCAAAAAAGAAAACTCTTTCAATTGTCCAGAATTAAAGAGGATGCAATATGCAGACAATAAAAACCATGGACTGAATTGTGGACCGTTGACAGTAGATGATCTTGCACCTCATTCATAATTAGCTTAATCAGTCACTAGAATTGATTGGAAAAGGATCAAAATAAGGTGAAAACAATGTGCAGATGCAAAATAGAACAAAATCATTTATAATCTCTGCCCTTGCTTAATTTATCATCAGTGGAAGTTTCATCCAGATTAAATTATACATATGGTTTTAATTCCACATACAGGCAGAATAATAGCTTCACCACTCCCTGACTGTTCTTCTGTACACTTCAGGTAACGTCTACAGATCAGTCAGCAGACAATTTTTCTAAATTCTCATATTTTAACATATTGCAAGTAAACTAGTAGTAGTTATCAAAAGGTTGCACTATATAAATACAAACATCCAAGAAAATTCTGTTCTGACATCTGATATACACGCAAAAATGTAAGCAAATCATGACCAGTTCATTTTATTGTATATTTGGGAAGGCTTGAGTGAAGGTCACATCCAAGGGAATTCTAAAGCACTGTAGCATTATTCTAAGTATCTTAACAGTCAAACACCAGAGCAGCCCTGGATCAAGTAACTCATCCAGGAGACCAGGACAACTATTAGTCCTCCATGCGGAAAATGGAAACAATACTAAACATAGAGCTCCTACCAGAAAAGACTAGAAATAACTAGAAAAACATGAAGGAATTACCACTCGTCCTAGAGAACACATCTTCAAGCCCCTTGTATGCATAAAATCAGTTAGTGTCCTTCCATCAACCGGAGATAATTCCAGAGAGGCAAAATCTGCCACCTAAACAAATGGAAGTCATAATACACAAATTAAGCAGTTGAACTTAGATAAAGTGAAATTAGAAAAACAATAAAGAGAGAAAGACCAACCAGTTTCGGAAGGGCTGTATCAGCATAGTATTTATGTGCCATTTCAATAAGTTCATCAGGTGCCTGACAGTGTAAATGGTATAACATCAGTACGGATCATCACCACACTAGTCTTTTAGGTTATCAACTGAGTCAAATGAACCATGAGAACCTCCCATGCACTTAAAGCAACAAAAGAAAGAAGCAAAACTGAATTTTATAATGATTCATATGGAGATGACCTTCATATGAAGACCAGTCTCTGATTCTTTCAAACGTAAATATGCTGCCTCTGAAATTAATTTTTTCCACAGGCTTTCTCTTTCCGCAGCAAGTTTCTCCAGCTCCTTCGGATCAGATCCATCTGATTTCTTGCTCATGTCTAGTCCATTTTCTGTAGCAACTTCTTTACCGTGCTCATTTTTGTTGTGCTTTTCATCAATTCTCTTTTTAATTTCCTTCAATAGTACCCCTTGCTTTCCAAGACCCTTTACAGCTGGCTCAACCTTAGCCTCCTCAGTCTTCTTGGACTCTGCTTTTCCTGACGCCTGATTTTGTAAATGCTGCACCCAACAAGCACCAAGCTCCCATCTTATTGGCTTCACAGTTTTAGTACTTTCTGCCTCTAACTTTGATATACTCTCAGCCATCACTTTTCTGACCAAAGACCTACCAGAACGCAGTTCTTCTTGGTCGGTACTTTGTGATCGCTGAGGAGAAGTAGATGATGGTGATAGTGGCTTATGCAACAGCATTCTCAAACTGGTAAAACAGCCAAGCAGAGAATGAATTATTAATCATTATGCCACAGCAGCTGAGATGCTTGAAGAAACATAGCTACTACGCAAAATTTAAATGCACTAACCTATTTACATTCAAAGCATTGGCACCACCTTCAGGTTGGTCCTCTATCTCAATGTCTTGGAGAATAGGTTTTCCCTCCCAATTTACCTCAGAAGAAACTTTCACAACAGCTGTGTAGCCACAATGTCTAACAACCACAACAGCTAGTGTAGGAGTGTCCTGGCATAATAAACAGACATATTTTGATCATTTAAGCATTTTTATAAGGAAAATAATAGAACTCTTAAATCGAAATATCATAGCTTCAGATGATTGGAAAATACTTACATGAACAGTAGCACTCTCATCTGCAGTTATTCCTTTGATTAAATTTCTCCGGGCAAGCTCTTCTTGGGGCAGTCCAAGAACTCGGCTACCATCATTCTTGCAGTCTAATTTTGTACTAGCATCAGGTACATCTTTTGAAATCGTAATTAGCAAATCTCCGATTTGTTCCTCATGTACATCAACAGGAATGGTGGGATTGCTTTGGATGATATTCTTAATAGCAGCAACAGCTTTAAAGACTGAAATGTCGACAAATAAACTATGGAGGAGAAATGCTTTCCTGTCTCGTATTTGCCTTTCCTCTGCTGTTTTGCAAGGCATTTCTGCCAAGATTGCAAACTCTTTCGCCCATTTTCTGTGGTCATGCTTCCCGTCTCTTCCTTGGCCACCTCCATTCCCTCCCCAGTTTTCATCTTCCACAGGAAGAGGTGGGAAAATAGAAGGGTTATCAGCAACCACTGGAGGGACAACCCATGTATTTGCGTGAAAACCATAAGGTAGGTTTCCAAACTGAGAGGAAATATACAAATTATACATTTATCTCCTCTTAAAGTCTAATTTGGCATGATATTGAAGTCTAATTACCTTGTTATGTTCCATAAAAGCTTTCATAAGAGCCTTGTATGCCTGCATAAAATGGAGTAATCGAGGTTAAGTAGTAGACAGTGCAACTAAACAATAACCTGTCAGCAGGTGGTAACATCACATTACCGCATCAAAAACACGACTTATTTGCTGCAATAGGCCAACCATTGAGTGACAGCTAAGGTGTCGTCGCCCTGAAGGATAGAATCCTTGTCGAGAAGCCACAATTGTCATAGGTTTTCCACTACAAACGCGGACCTTAAGATATACATCACCCATAAACTCAGCTAAATTAGGCTATAAAGAAACTCTTGATGAAAGAAGAAACCTGCAGGTGTTTCAATCAAATTAGTAAAGACTAATTAGAAAATGCTTACATCAATTTGAAAATTATCGTCTTCTGTTTTGTCCTCAAGGAACGGGCGATTAGATCTCCTAATATCTACAAGAAATATAAAAATATATAATATAGGTCTTCAAGATGTGAGTGGAAAATGTAGCTAACAAAAACATATTCAAACAATGTTGAATGGAAAAAATTGTTGTTTGATATTAAGTTAGAGGTGCACAAATAATAAATTCCTACCCATCTTACAAGAATATTATTGCTTGTTCATCCTGCTATTACTTTTTTTTTTTTTTTTCATTCAAAATTAGTTCCTTCTTAGGAAAGCAATGATCAAACATGCACCTTAACACCCAACAGAAAAAAGACAAAAAGATTGGTTTGTGAGTACATTTATGGGCACTAGGCACTCCCATGGCCAATTTTGAGACAATCATAATGTTAGTGCCTTGAGGTTCTCTTCAGAAGCTTACAGGATATAGACTCTAGCCTCAACAAGGACTTTAAAGAGTGCAATAATATATACTAAATGAGAAGCATCCTAAGGTAACCCACACATGAACCTTGAATTTGATCTCAAATAATACTTCTCCAAAAGTAAATTGTCTAAAAATCTCCCAAAATACAGATTAATCCAAGTATTTGAAGTAGAGAAAGAAAGGGAAAAAAAAAACCTACATCATCTTATTGGCCTTATTAGGCCTTACTATAAGGTATTAGACCTTATCATCTTATTTGAACTTATAAACCTTTATCTTATCTTATAGACGTATTAACCCTTATTAATATAGAAAAATACTCCATTTGTTCCAAATTAGTTTTTAGACTTTACTTTTTCATTTGTCCCAAATTAAATGGACACTTTTGTTTTGGAAAAGACCCCACTATTACTTTAATCCATTACTGTTCCACTAATTAAAAGTTAGGGACCCAACCCTCTCAACATCAAATTAACAATACCTCAAAATCTCCAATCAAATCTAATTTTTAATACTGTACTGACTATCTTCTTTCACAACTACTTTTTCAATAAATTAACAATTGATAATCATACAATTTATCACTTAAAACTATGTGTCATCATAAGTGTCTAAACTCGAAACTAATTTGGGATGTATGTCGTACATCAATTTTTCCTCTTTTATTGGATAAAATTAATCAACTTATTGTTATACTTAAACCCTAGACCTTTTACCCCAAAAATCTTCATTGCACATGTACTTCGTAGCTTGCAAAATACAAGCAAGACTTTTTTTTTTTTTTGTGCTAGTTTGCTCATTTGAAACTTCCAAACAAGAATATATATATATATATATAGATTTGATTGTACTTAGAGCATGGTAGTTGTACATAAATTCCCAACATACTACCACCGAGACACATAACAAATGTGTTCTTTTTCATCACTTTTGGTTATTACCATTTTTTTACATAATGCATGAGCATTGAATAGTTATTTTTATATTAGCATTGTAAGTAGAGCAAGCTACAACTATTTTCTTAATTCTTTCATAGAACCTCTTACACAAAATTTTTTTTTATTAGGAAAGTGTTTAATGTTTTCAATTTTTTTATTAATTTTTCAAAAAGAAAACATAAGAGCATCTCCGATGGTTGTAGCTAGAGGACATGCTTGTTTTGGAAATTCTCTACCTACTAGCTTGATCATTAGAACTTAAAAAATGAATGTTAGAAGAATATCCTACCAAATAACACATGTAAGTGTCCCACATTAATAAAAGTTGAGAGAGTTAAACACTTTATAAGGCTAGGGGACTACTCTATTGCCATATAATTTTGGGATGGAACAATCTTTGGACTTGTGAAGTGGACTCACTCTCTTGGTTTGCGGGTGCAGCCCACACCTGTATTTAACATGGTATCAGAACCAGGTCCACGGTTTAGGACCTTTAGTGGCTTGTAAGTAGAGCAAGCTACGACTGTTTTCTTAATTCTTTCATAGAACCTCTTACACAAATTCAATTTTTTTCTTTTAGAAAGTGTTTAATGTTTTCAATTTTTTTATTAAATTTTCAAAAAGAAAATATAAGAGCATCTCCGATGGTTGTAGCTAGAGGGCATGCTTGTAATTTCGGAAATTCTCTACCTACTAGCTTGATCATTAGAATTTAAAAAATGAATGTTGAAAAATATCCTACCAAATAACACATGTAAGTGTCCCACATTAATAAAAGTTGAGAGAGTTAAACACTTTATAAGGCTAAGGGGCTACTCTATTGCCATATAGTTTTGGGATGGAACAATCTTTAGACTTGTGAAGTAGACTTAAGCAGCCCACACCCGTTTTTAACATGGTATCAGAACCAGGTCCACGGTTTAGGACCTTTAATGGCCTGAGTATATTGTCATTCCCCTGGTTTAAGACAATTAATGACATTAAATATTGTGGGCCAAATTGAATTGGATCATGTGATCCTTGAGTTAAAGCGATAAAAGTTGAGAAAGTTTAACACTTTATAAGGCTAAGGGGCTACTCCCATTGCCATATGGTTTTGAGATGAAACCTCCTTTGGACTTGTAAAGTGGACTCTCTTCTCTTGGTTTGCGGATGCGGCCCAAACCCGTATTTTACAATGAATTTAGCTTGGCCAAACTAATTTGTTGGGAAAAAAACTTGTTAAAAAAAGGTTGACATATCAATAAAAGTAAATTTAAAAAGCTAATTAGGATATTACACCCATAATGGCTACATGTAGTTTTGAGTTGCCACATTATTATTCCTGAAGCTACATGATTTAAACTACAATTTCTACAATGGCAAGCTACTTCATTTTATAATAAATAATAAATAAATAAATAAATAAAAACAAAATATAAAAACAAAAAACAAAAACATAAAAAATATTACACAAATCAATATATCTGTATTGGGTGGAGTAAAACTACACAGCTCTTCAGTTTGGCCTTGGCTACAACCTATATGTGTATTGGGTGGAGTGAAACTACACGTAGTTTAGCCTTGGCTATAACCTATGTACCTCCACAATGGCTAGCATAAAATTCTAATTATATAGAAATTGCAAGTAGGTCCTTTCATGAACCATTGTGATGCTCAAAGGCTCGTTTAAATTACAAGCTAGTAACTAATCATTGGGGCACAGACTACCTAAATTGCTACTAATTCACTTATCATTGGAGTTGTTGTAAAGAGTAACGAAATAATTAAGCTTGAAATAAATCATTAAAAAAATATAGAGAAAGAGAACTAACATTGAATAGGAGGAGTGAGATTAGAGAAAGAGAAGAAATCGTAAAACTGGCCCAACCGCGGCGGCGGACACATGTTCACCTCTCCGGCCGCCGCCGTATCATCTTTCTTCTCATTGTCCGGTTCAACCTCGCTTTTTGGGCCGCCTTCTTTCTCTTTTCGGCCCAATTTCGGCCCAAATGCTGTGGTGCATGCCACGATATCCAGTAGCCGTCTGACATGTACAACGGCGTCGTTTTCCGTATAATCCTCTGTAAAAAAAAAAAACAAAAAAAAAAGGAATAATTGAGATACTAGCAGTTAGATTAATTAAGGAACCAAATGGTGTTATTAAGATGATTGGTTTAGAGTTTACCTTCGGTGATGGTGAGATGACAGGGCTTCAGAGAAACAATTTCCACCGTATCTTTGAGCTTGGGTCCCCTCAACTGTTTTTTTAAAAAGGGTATAATTGGAATTTTAAATTTTTGTGCATTTTATTTGTAGCACCATAATAATTGTCGCAGAGACCTCTCGTAATAGAAGAATTAATTCAAAAAAAAAAAAAAAAATTAATTAGTGTCAGTTCATATGTGGTTGGAGTTACTTATTAAGGGGGTAACTTTTGACCGATTAAGTAACCTGTAACTGATCGAGTAACCTGTGACTGACCCAATAACCCCTGACCGAGTAACCTCTGATCGACGATCGAATCTGACTGAGTAACTCCTGAATAAGTAACCCCGATCACAGCGTGTGGCCAGTCACACAGAATATGCGCTGCAAATTTAATACTGCATGTAGTAATCCATAGCTAATTAATACTCCCTCTATTTTTAAATACTTGCTCCATTTTTCCATGCGCAGAGTTTTAAGAAAAATTGGAGAAAAAAATAAAATATGGAGGTAGTGGGGTAGGTGGAAGAATAAAAAAATTTTGTTGAGAGAATTGGTGGAGAGAGAATATGGATTTAATAAAATATTTCCTCTATTTTTTATTAGTTGACACATTTCATTTAGGCACGTTTGCCAACACATACTTTCAAGGTAAAATATTTTTAATTACGTATTAGCAAAAATTATAAAATTTTGACATTCGGAAACTAGACGTTGAGACGAAGCTAACAACACCTCACGTGCCTATGTTTTAATCTATCACTAATTCACAAAACAAAGTCAAAGTAAGTTATGTAAATAGTGCAAAAAGTCAAAACGTATCAACTAAAAAAACGGAGGTAGTATGATTTATTTTGGGTCCACTAGTTGAGAGAAATGAATTAAATATTGTTAAAGCTTTCCAAATAAGGAAATGGAGCAAGTATCTAAAAACGGCCGAAAATAGAGAGTGGAGTAAGTATTTAAAAACGGAGGGAGTACTTTATAGTTTAACGGTAGTAGCAAGTGTGCCACATTGTAAGGGCATACTAGGTCATCAACCCGTCGAGATGCTAAGCATTTTGGTGCACAAGTTATTATACCAACCCTACAAATTTTGAATCAGAATATGAAGACACAACAAGCAACCACTAGGGTAGGTAGGTGGTCAGATGGCCTTAGTCTTGTGATTTTGTGAGTATGTGACAAATTATGTTAGCGTGTGTGATATGATTTACTATAATTTCTATTTGACTTCAAAATAATGATAAATATAATACTCAAGTAGAAGTTTTCTAAAAATGGAATATTATGGAGTCATTTGATAAGAAAAACATAGGATTATAAGAACATGTAAAACTAAGAAAGTTTTTTACCAGATGCTTCCCTATGTAAAGGTGTGTTATCTTTATACAAGTTAATTAGACATGACTATTATTATTTTTCATGTTGTATGTACACCTTATTGGACCTGATCATTCTTTACTAGCTTTGAAATTAATTTTTTAACATAAACATAATACACCTTAATTAAGTAGAACCACATGAGGATTTTACTTTCTATATATGATCAACCTAAGTGCATTTACTATTTTGATTTTTAATAAATTGGTTTCATATATTCAACCAAACAACTATCATACACAGTATAATCTTATAGAAAAGGAAATTTTCAAATTATAAACTGTTTTAGATCCTGTATGGTTAATCTAATTTTGTCTGATGAGCTTATATTATTTTATCTGAACTTATATTACTTTTTTTATTTTTTTGGATTATACATTTTATTTAAAAGCAAAGGTATTCAAGTCATACATAAATTTATGAAAAATAGGTAATTAAAAAAAGATTATGAAAATATGTTGCATATTATTTAGCTATTTAATTATTTAATTTAATTATGTTGGATATTTTTAGGTAATGTAATGTATTACTTCGTATTTTTTATTTTTTTTCCTCCAATACAGGCATGATCAATTTTGTAGTTCAATGAACAATATTATATATGATAATAATTATATTTTATTGTTTTTTTTTGTAAAATAATAATAATAATAATAATCTCAAACTACATGCAATTACCCGAGCATCACTCAAGCCAATAACTAGTAAGTTATGTAAAATCCCAAAAATAGAGTATATAGTATGCACAATACAACGATGAAAGTTTCGTTAAAATATATATCTATATATTAAAAAACGTTCTTAAAACAGAATATGTGTCACGTGTCACCCTTTTAAACTCTATAAACATGACAAGTCATTAATATATGACATGTGTCACCTCTTTAAGCACTATAAATATGCCACGTCACCTACACAACATGAATTAGATTTGACATCTAAAAAATGCTTATAGCAAGACCTGAACTCAAGACCAACAAGTATTGCGATAAAAGTCTTACCACCTTAGCTATACATATATTGTGTGAATTTACTCAACCAAATTATAGTTAACTTGGATAAGATGATTAGTCCTTAATTGTACTATTTGTTACGTATCACAGGATAATTTAACAACTTTAATTAATTTTGAAGTTTGAAAAATTGTATTGTTTTTCGATTTGATGAAAAATAATTTTTTTTTATTAAATTGTCAATAGTTGAATATCTTTGAATCATACTTCGTACAAAGTAACATAAAAAATATTGAATATGGTTCTCCTAATACAAATCTTTTTTCAAAATATTAAATTTTAAAGATGATCATCAATACATGAAATAAAAAAAAACAATCAAACGTTATCATCATATTAAACCAGTACAAACTAGCAAGTCGGGGCATCGCTTGAGCCACACACTAGTAATTTAATGAAAAGGTGACAAAGTTCAATCATATATTTTAAATGTCGTCTTTATTTTGAAATAAATGGAGTTAAATAGTTAGCTATTGGAGATCTAATTGCACTCATTTCGTTTCCACACAATTGCATCCATTTTTATGCTTATTGCCCTTTTGATAGACAATTTTTTTTTTAAAAAAGAAAATGATTGTTCAAGATGGAGTTATTAATTAGTCATTTAGTGATCTACATATTAACAACCAACCCACATTTGACCTACTATGGTCTATATAGAGTATATCATATTTATGCATTCATCAATTAATATTTTGTCACATCAAACGATATACTAACGTGTTTAAAAAAAAATCATATAATTAGAAGGTAATGTTCCTTTAAATACAGTAGCTAGGAGGTTAAATGGCCTTATTTAATGGCCACGTTATTATGTGATAAACTATTAGACCATACACATTAATTCCTACAAAATAGTAATTAATTTTTGCGAAAAATTGTGTGATATTAGGGTATCTTCATTATCGTATATAATAAAGCTAGTCATGTTCAAAATTACACAAAAGCCAACTTTACAAAGAGTGTTTATTTCGTTCTGTACAAAGCCTTATAAAACCGAGTATATTGTATAACATGCTTAACCATGTCCCAAATTGCATAATAGTTAACTTCGCATAGATCAAGTGAGTAACTTCTATGTAATTTGAGATGACTAAACTGTCCATTAATCAATAACAGCCGACTACCGAAGAACAAAAGAAGAAATAAAAAATTAAAAACAAGAAGCATGGTCCAATAAGGAGAATGTAAGTAGAAAAAAACGAACCTCGTGAGATAGGGAATAATTGGTTAAATGACATGTCTCAACATTCACAGCTAACAGCTTTCGCACATCCAAAATCTTATCAGTAGATATCCCCTACATCCAAAAGTGCCCACACAAAACTTAGCGAAAATCTAATCCTCTAAATTAAACTATTTATTTTTTCAAATTACTTTTAACAAATCTTTCTAATTTCAATATATGTTGTGTATATAACGAGTTTATTATATTGTAATACAATAGAGCGAGTACGTACCTTGAGGGTAACTCGACTGTCATTTGGAATGTCAACTGTTACTTCAATTACGATCGGTAAAACTGTATAATTATTTTTTACAAGTAAAAGTTTAAATTAGTAACGTTCAAACTCAAACAATAGTATGAATAATTTTAAGCTACTATGACTATACGTGTAATGCCACTCACATAATACTTGAAAGTGAATAAAATTTTGATTATTTATAGAGTATTTCAATTGTAACAAAATAGACTCATTTTCAGCGTTGAAACAACATACGAAAGAATATTTTTTACGTGACGCAACCAATTACCGTTCAACCAAACATGACTTTTAATATATTAATATTTTAATCCGATTCTCTACAACCTTCGATTTTTTCTAAGGTCGCAAGAGAGTTTATAAAATATTGCTGACGGGACAAAACTGTTGAATTATGAAAACTCCGTTCGAATATAGAAGAAAGAAAACATTCAATAATATGCTAATATAACTAGAACTTATAATGAATTCATCATCAATACCTTTTTCCTCCTTCTTCTTCTTTTCTCCTTTAGCTTTATTTTGCTTACCCTTACTAGCCTTTGGAGCCATATCTTACAACCTCTCTTATCTCTTCAAACTCTCTCAATTCAACCAATAATCAAGCTCATATAACAAAAACACAAGACTTATATTTTTTATTTGGAAGCTTATGAACAAAAACCATGCATTGAAGCAAATATAGCTACCTCAATTCTTCGAGGCGAATTTTCGAGGATAACAAATGTATTTATCAACAACAATATAGTGAAAAAGATATCATAGAAAGAGTAACATATATAAGCAAGACATAAATGAAGCAATAAAAGGAGAGAGAAAGCTAAAGATAGAAGCTAAGATAGGAAGATAAGGTAAGAATATGTATGTAACGAGAGAGCTAGCACTTTGAGGTTTAAGGGTGGTGTTGTTTTAATTGGAAGAACAAACAAAACTAATAAAATGGTGGGAGGATGTAGAGAAGGCCAAATTATTAAGGACCATACAATATAATTTTATATTTTCTAGTTACTTATACTTAGAAAAAAAATAGGTGACACAAAGTTGAGACAACATTCACATATTCTATCTTTTTGATGGCTATCATTTTCATGTATGTTGTAGTTGGATGGGTCACAGTTTTTTTTGTGTGAGGAAAGTTTTGTCCAAATTTGGGGGTGGTACTTCGGTCTTTGGGTGATTGGGTCATTGGGAGCTGCGGCTTATCAAAAAGGATTATCTGGATAGTTTCTAGCCTGTGGCCTCTTAAGTGTGGATGCCATGTGGCGACGAAATTATTATTAGTGGTCGTCAGAGGATTATTAATCACCAAGTAATATCGCTTCTTTAGTTTATAATCATAGGTAATGTTGCGTATATGTTAGCATATGTCGTTTGAGCTTATTTTTTTAGAATCGATCCCAATATCTCTTGGAATCGAAATGGGGCTTTAACCACTTGACCTATCCTTCACCCTTGCAAAATTAGGACAAAACTCCCTCTTGTCTGCTTGTGGACGTAACTACCACATTCTTATTGATCGAATCATATACATTTGTGTATATTCTTTATTATTACTCTTCATTATTATTTGTTGCATATGTTACAATAATATATCAGAGGTTTATTGAAAGAGTAGATAAAGCATGCACTACACAACGTTCACCTTTTATATCTTGGATAGGAGTTTGATTACTCATTTACCTAAGTTTACTCCACTTTTACTAATCGGACCAAACTAATTGGCCAGGCTAGAGATAAAAATTTGAATTTCAAGAAATTGAGATTGGACCATTTTAGCTGACCAGATCCTTTCAGAACTGGAAAAAATGGTCCAAAATCCAAATCGGTTCGGTTTGGACTAGTTTTAGAATATTTTTTTATTTATTTTCAAAATTTACATGATGTTATGATTGATAAACTAAAAAAAAAGGAAAAACTTGAAAAAAAGAAGTTTTCTTAACTTATTATGACCCCGTTCACTTCACCTTATTTTGCTGAACTGAAATTATTTTTGCCGAACTGAAATTATTTTTGCTGAACTGAAATTATTTTTACTGAATTGAAATTAATTTTGTTGAATTGAAATTATTTTTACTGATTTTCTATTATATTTCTTCTTTAGAGTTACTGATTTTTGCTGAACTGAAATTAATTTTACTGATCTGAACTTATTTTTGCTGAAGTGAAATTATTTTTACTTTACTGAATAGTATTTTTTTAAGGTGAACTGAACAGGGCCTAAGTCTAATCTTAATCATTTTATAAAGATTTTATGCATAATTTAATTAAAGCAAAAAACTAATCTGGTCCAAGATCGATTTTAAAGGATTTTGGACTAGACTGGACCAAAGACTGGGAAAAATCATTTCTTAGACCGAAGACTAGATCGGTTAATTCGGCCCGGTCTGGGGTTGGTCTAGTCCGATCTAATCCATTTTTTCGGCCTGGACCGGTTTTTGAACACCCCTAGTTGTTTCTCATTCCATGTCATCAAATCTTAATAAGAAATAGTTATCCATACAAAATTCGAACACGTAATCTCTAATTTTAACACTAAATATTTTACCACCATGCCCACCTAGCTATGTCATACTTTATGTTATCTTTTTAAAAAATAAAATATTAATATGTTAAGTAGTGAAAAAATTGGGGACATGGTGTTTTAGTTAAGACTAAACATTCTAAAATGTTAACTCACACTTCTCTAGTATTCATACATGATAAGGGGCTAAGTGCTATGATCCATAGTTTGATAATGAGGACACAAAGTATGCAACTACTACTATTAAGTTCATCAACATTTGTCCTTACTTGCATTAAAAAAAAAAAAAGGTTCATCAACATTTAATTTGTTTTGTAGTCACTAAAATAATGTGAGTATAGGATTACATGTCTTGCTTTGAAAATTCTGCCTTAAATTCTTTTTAATGAAAATTCTCAAAAGCTTATCTTTGAAAAGTTTCCTTCCAAGGGGATTTAAATGGTATTGTTCATGAGCTTGCGGAGGCCGAAAACAACATTGCAATTGGGCATAGGAATTACTTCAAACCTCTAGATTGTGTCAAAATGATGTATGAGAAGGAGATGGGATTTGGAGCTGCGAACTGAAGCCACCTTCCTCCTGTTTGGATGTCAAATAGCATTTTGCTTCCCTTGTAGGTATACTATTATGTAAAATTATATTTTGGTGCTTAGCACGGATTGTTATAGTTGTAAGGATGTTGATTGGGTTTTGATTACTTCATCACATTTTGGTATATTCATATTGATGTAAGGATAATCCTCTATTAATATATTTCTGGTTTGGTTGTGTTAAAAAAGAAAAGTTTCCTTTGCTAGCTAAGAATTTAGACAAATACATAGGACATCAAATCAACTAGTCATAACTAAAACGTATGCCTTAAATCATGCTAAAGTTTTTTATTAATAATGACAAATAATGTAGAGAAGAAAAATGTTTATGTTTAAATTACCACCCCATTTTGTTAGATGTTTAAATCAAGTCTAGATTTCCTTAAAAAAAACAAACTTATGAAGAGCAAATATGAACATAGTCAACATACTTACTTTTCAGTTTTTCACTTACACTTCTGCCTTTGATACCTTCAAGAAGACCAAGAGCTTTAGGTTGGTTGAAAAATCAAACAATAAGGATGGATTGGTAGAAGTAGAACACTTTAGTCCAAACAAAAGTGACCAAGCCTTATGGTAAGTTGGAAACAATTGACAAACACAAAATTTGACTTTTACCCCATCAAAGTGTTTATTTATTTATTTGAGGGGAAGCTGGCTAATGCATTAATTAAGGGACAAATTGTCTGAGAATACATAAGGATTAATCACATCGGGGCAATGATTAACCCAAACCTGTTCTACGCCAAACGACATTAACTTAGCAAGGTGATGGGCTACATAATTTCCATCCCTTTTAACATGAGACCAAATAAAGGACTTAAATTCACAACTAATAGACAAAATATCCTCCAAGACTCCGTCTAGATCAGACAAGTATACTACTCCTTTCGAAAGCCTTGTGATGAGTGTTTGGCAATCAGACTCCAATATGACATCTTCATAGCCAAAGCGACGGGCCAACCTCATCGCCATCAACAGTGCCTTTCCTTTTGCAATTTCAGGGGGCCACCACACCTTGACTCTCCATGTTGCTGCAAAGAGAACTTTCCTCTCTTTATCCCGAGCCACCACTCCCATGCCTATCCACCCTTCATTGTAAAGAGAAGCATCAGAGTTCAATTTCACACGCCCTGGGGGAGGCGCATTCCATCTGCTGCTGCTACGCTTGGGTCTTCTCTGAGTCACGGAGTACACCTGCTCGCTGTAAGTTCCATACTCGTCAGCCAATTTGCGAGCTCGAGTAGCCACTATATCATTCGGTGTAGAGGTGCCTGAGTATACCTTGTAATTTCTCTCTGCCCACACAATCCAAGCTAGGTAGGCAGCCCGTTGTTTAATTCTTAGCCCAAGCTCTTTCCACCTGACCAATAACTCGCACCAGTTCTCCCTAGGCTGAAGCTTAGCACCAGCGCACCCACAATCATCCCATAGCTCTGATACTCTCTGGCTGTAAAAAATAGCATGGGAAGTAGGCTCCATCTCCCTGTCACACCATGGACAGGTTGCAGAATCTAATAAATGGCGATAGTGAAGCAGCATTTTTGTGGGCAGCGTATTCGTACAAATACGCTATAGAAAATGCTTCACCTTAGGGGAAACTTCCATACTCCAAATTTCAACCCATGCCCTGTGGAATTCATCAAGATTGCAGCCTTTCCCTAGCATATACGTTGTTTTGGTTGAATAATGCCCATCATTCGAGAACGCCCAAGTGATGGTGTCTTGTGGTGCTCTCTCACTTTACGGGATTTCCAAAATACACTTCCTGTCTCTCTCATTGAAGGCAGCAGTGATAAGGTCCTCTTTCCACTCCATTCTCGAAAAATCAACAACATCGCTGACATGTTGCAAGTCTTCTGTTTCTGTGCTAGTAATAAATCTACCATCATCATCATCAGCAACCCACGGGTCCTTCCAAATGTTCACAATAGCGCCATTCCCAATTCTCCATATAATTCCTTCTTTCAAAAGAGCCTTCGCCCCCTAAATGCTCCTCCAACAGTAGATTCCGGAGTAACTAAGGTAAGCTTCGAGAAAAGAGCTATTTGGATAGTACTTTGCCTTCATTACTCTCCCTAAGAGAGAGTCCTCTCAATGTACAAGTCTCCAAGCTTGCTTTCCAAGAAGGGCTATATTGAATACTTCCAAGTCCTTAAATCTCATACCCCATAAACATTTAGGAGAGCACATCGCTTCCCACAATTTCCAATGAATCTTCCATTAAGCACCCGCATGGCCCCAAAAGAATTTAGCCATTGCCGATTGAATATCATGGATCACTGAACAAGGAAATATCTACACTCCCATCAAGTAAGTCGGAATAGCTTGAATAACCGATTTTAGCAACACCTCCTTCCCTGGTTTCAAAAGTAGTTTTTCCTTCCATCCCTGTAACTTCTTCCATATTCTGTCTAGAATTTCACCAAAAATAGCCTTTTTTGATCTCCCTACCACAGTAGGAATTCCAAAATATTTATCGTGTATGTCGACTCGTTTCATATTAAGAATCCCAATCAAATCATCTTGTTGCTTTGCGCTTACCCCTCTACTAAACGACACTTCCGGCTTCTCATAATTAATTTTTTGCCCGGATGCTACTTCATAACGGTTGAGAATATAACTATCACTTCACATTCCTGTCGAGTCGCTCTAGTGAAAAGTAAGTTGTCATCTGCAAACAAGAAATGAGATATGGCAGGTCCACTCCTACTCGATTTCGCCCCATGAAACTCTCTATTCTAAACTTTATTATTCAACATGTGAGAAAACACGTCAGACACCTAAATAAACAAGTAAGGTGAAAGAGGATCACCTTGTCAGAGACCCCTGGTGGGAGTCATAGCCCCACATACTCTTCCGTTGATAATGAAAGAGTATGACACAGAAGATACACAATGCATAACCCGGTTGACCCATCTCCCATCAAAACCCATCGTTAGTAACAACTTTCTCAAAAAACCCCATTCAACCATGTCATAAGCTTTACTCATATTTAATTTCAGAGCAATTGTACCCTTTCTGCTATTACTCCTGATTCTCATCGTGTGAAACAACTCTATAGCAATAAGAGCATTATCAGTAATAAGACGCCCCGGAACAAAGACACTCTGATTTTCCGTAACAACCTCCGGCAGAATTGATTTTAATCTAAGTACAATCACTTTTGAAACTATTTTATACAGAACATTACGCAAGCTTATAGGCCTATATTCGGACATACTAGTTGGAGACTTCACTTTCGAAATCAACACAATATTAGTACTATTCACATGCTCTAAACTAGCCCTACCATCAAGAATATTACTAACAAAATTAAACACATCATCTCCAACAATATGCCAGAATTTTTGGTAAAAAATAGCGTGCATACCATCAGGGCCGGGGGCTTCGCAGGGGTGCATTTGTTGTAGAGCTGTAAAGACTTCTTCTTTTGTCTACGGGTGGAGGAGATCCTTATTTTTAGCATCAGGGATCACATGTTTAATATGCTGCAACACTTCTTGAAAGCTGTCATTTGACGGATTTGTTAAAGTGAAGAGGTTCGGATAAAAATTGCTTGCTATCCCCTCGAAAGTTCTTCATCCTCCTGCCATACACCCTCCTCGTTATACAAGCCTTCAATGGTATTCTTCTTCCGTCGTTGAGAAGCTTTATGGTGATAGTATGAAGTGTTTCTATCTCCATCGCGAACTTCTAGAACATGGGATTCGAGATACCAATAAGCTTCATGCTTATTGTGAATATCGTCTAGTAGTTGCTCAAGTCTTGTACACTTCTCACAACTCTCCACTGAAATTCGCTCCTGCTGGGAATCTTTTAAAGCCTTCTCGGTCTTCTCAATTTGTTGGCCAAGGTCGTCATAAATTTCCTTGCTCTATTTGGCAAGGCTGCTGCTAGTAACACTGATCTTCCCAATCATGTCATGACCATCAGCCTCAGCCCACACTTTTTTAACTACTATTTCGCAAGTATTGTCCAACAACCAAGCTGTTTCGAATTTGAAACACTTGGTTCTCTTCCCTTTCTTTCTTTGCTTGGCCGACAAACGCAATACAATTGGCACGTGGTCAGATTTGTACCTCATTAAATTCTCAACCGAAGCCTGTGGGAATAAGGCTGTTCATTGCCTTCAATTTCACTCAACACTAGAAGGTTGTTTTCCCAACACCAAGGTCTACCATTCAAGACTTTCTCTTTGTCCTTCCAATGGAAGAATTGGAAGGCATACAAATTAGGGCTAATTGCCCTAATTACCAAATTGTTTGTCGGCGCCCACACCTTCATCATTGTTCTTTTAAAACCTTCAACATTATACGGCCTAGATGTGCATAGACGACCCACCAGCAATAAGTCAATGTTCTCAGTTTTCTCTTCGCAATCCACCTCTCCTAAATCAATTAGACTGCTTTCATCATCATTGATTTTCAGAGCCGAGCATTTGAGTGACAAATCCTCTGCCATGGAGCCAGAGAAACCAGCATTCACAGTGGAGGTTAATCGCACACGGCGGAGAGTTGTCTCTCTTTCAAGAAGTTTTGCCCTTTCTTTCGAGGGAGTTACCCCATCAAAGTTGAGTTTAAAATAATCTAGAGACTTATATAGACAATCAAAACCACCTAAAATCATTTTACTTATTTTAATCTTAATCATTAAAGGTAGATATATGTTTTAAAAATCAAATTTAAAACATCTTAAATGAGAATGTTCATTATATATTCGGGTGTATCTAAAACTATATATACTCAGATTTACAATAAAAATTACAATATTAGATTGTTATATTATTCAATTGTAAAATTTATTCCTATTACTCCATAATTCGATTCGAAAATTTCAGTCTTACACTCAAAATCATAATCTTGATGCAAAATATGAACATACAAAGACAGGGAAAGAACAAACCTATGTAGTCATATAGACACTAAAAAGAGTTTAAACCATCACTCTCAAATTTTCTGACACTTCCCTAAAGCCTCAAAAACCCTAACAATGGCGGTTCTCCAATCCCAAACCCAGCAACCCCAAAACCTTCAAATTCATCGTCTTCCTCAATCCAAATTCGTCGACGCAGTACGATGGTTATCCCCATTTTCAGCCTTCGACAAATTCGTCGTACTCTCTTTGTTCGACCCCAATTCTTCATCTTCCACCATTGAACTTCACTCTCTCGATTTCCCCAATTCCGAAAACCCTAAACCCATTCTCTCTCCTCTCTCTTCTTCTTCCCCTTCTCTCTCTAGAACTTCCTCTCTCAAAACCTCTCAATCCCTAATTGCATTTTCCACATTTTCAGGCTCCCTCGATTTTCTCTCCCCTAATTACTCCTCTTCTGGGGAGGTAACCCTCGATTCGTCGCTTTCTTTGCAGGATGATGGGTTCCATGTTGGACCCATTTCGTGTATTGATGTTTTGGAGAGAGAATGTGTGAGTGTTGGGGAAGATGGGAGGGTGAATTTGGTGAGTTTCGGGGGTGGAAAGACGAGTTATCGCCGGGTTTTCGATAGCGATGGGCTGGTTTCGTATACCGCGGTGAAATGGGCGTCTCCCTTGGAGTTTGCTACTGGTGGGTTGGGGTGTAGTCTTCAATGGTGGGATCAGAGGAGGAAGCCTGGTGAACCTGCATTGCAGTTTAAGGGTAAATGGTAAGAGAAATCAATGCTATTCAATTCTAATTTTTGGATTATACTTTTAAAGTTTTTTTTTTTTTTTTGGCTTGATTGTTGTTTGTAGTTAGTGTTGATCATTGTTGGCATTTTGATTGTTTGAAGTGCTCTCGCTATCCATGTAGTTACATCATTAATATTAGTTGTGTCGTCTTCAGAAATCCTATGACTATTGTTTGGAATGGCGATACTTTTTTCAGACATCCTATAATAGTATATGTTACAGAGTACTATTGGTTTACACAGGAGGAAGTATTATGGATTGTTTCCTTTGGACCCTTTTTATGTAATTTATAATCTAGCTAGGAACTTGGATGTGGTTTACTCATTAGACTTTAGTGTAAAAGGGTTGTACTATGTATTTGCAATGGAGTAATATAGTGAGTAAGCCTGGAGATCTTCATGTATACATGATTGTACTTTTGGTTATGTTAGGTGATCTTTTAGGAAGTGTAGATTTTGAAGTGCCTTCATTTGTATTGTTGTTTGGCAGCAAAGCTTAGTTGGGTGTGTTATACAGCAAAGCTTTTTATTGTCAAGGACTTTGTGACTGGTAATTTCCATATTCTGATGATGTATGAAGTGACACAGAATGTATGTGATGGTTTTGGTCATATGGTGTGGATTGTATATGCACATGGCTCTTGAATTGGCATGCTAGTAGAAATACAGTGGATGTCATTTTTTTATAGGATAAAAATGCTTCCTCTGTTTTTTTTTTATTTACTTGCAATACATCTCTAGCACACACTTTAAGGAAGATATTAGACTAAGTAAACGGACAAGCTAATTGAAATAATTTCACCACTTATAAGACGAATGTTTATAGTTGTTATTGTTTAAATTTTATAGCTTAATCTGTCCTTTACCTTTTCGAATCGCTTTCACAAATAGCGTGTCAAGAAGGTGCATTACAAAGTATAAAAAAAAAAAAAGGAAGTATATATTGTCCTTATGAGCTAAGTTTTCGTGAATGTTTGAATGATTTTCTGACGCATGATATTGTAGGTCTCAGAATATTTCTTCTGGAGTCATGCATTCCATCGATATTCATCCATCAAGGAAGCATACCTGTATGGTAAGATGAACTTTTCTTCTGTTGCTGGCGTAGCAAAGTTTTCTTGTTGTCTTCACCTGTGGATACAATAGCCTACTATATCATGTCATACAATGATATACTTCCTCCGTTCCAAATTAGATGACACAGTTTGACTTTGTGCACTATACACATAAGACATAACTTGCTTTGACTTCGCTTTCTAATATTATGTTGAGAAAAAACATAGTCATGTGGGGTTTTGTTAGATTTGTCTTAACATTTTTTTTTCAAATATCAAATTTTATAATTATTGGTAATATGTAATCAAGGATATTTTCATTAGAAAGTATGCATTGGCAAACGTGCCTAAATAAAATGTGTCGTCTAATATAAAACGGAGGAAGTACTATTTAGCTGGCACCTTTATTTATGACTTGGAATCTTGGATTGGTGTGGTTTCTTTTTCTGGTCCAAGGGGAGGTGTGCCAAAATTTATGCTACTTTGTCTCTCTTCTGTACTGTCTTAAATTTTCTGAGTCTGGTTCTGTTAGACCTTGATCTAAAAGGCATTGTTAGACCTTGATCTAAAGGCATTCAATAGCTAGTAACAAATTAATTTTGAAGCTTTAATTTCTTACAAATGCTGAAAGTTATTGCATGCTTTTAGTATTTTGATTTTTGTTATGGTGGAACTTTGTAATTTGGTTGTAGTACATGTCCCTCAATTGGAGATGACTATTGTTGAATATTCTGGTAGACAGCTTCTAAGGTTTGCTGTGATGACTTTTTACTAGGGGTCTAGGGGAGGCATTGATGGGAAGGAGAGAATATGGGAACTGTGAGTAGTGAAGGTATTTGGTTAAAGTATTATTATTTTTGGTAAGAAATTTTTTTAAAAAGTCAGGTTAATATAAGATAAACAAGGAAAACAGTAGAAGGCCATAATTTGTTATATATCTGAGCTTTAAGATTAGACCTCCGTTGACACTATGCACTGAACTCATGGTGTATAAAAACATGGGCCAAATTATTAAGATTATGGGAAAAAAAAAAAAAAAAGGTTCTCACTCTTTCTTTTGCTTGACCGTATTAATCTGAAAAAATTCACTTAGAGATTTTTATTTGTTCATAACTTCATATGCATATAGACATATAGTTGATTCAAGCATGCCTTTATTGTTCTCCCTTTTTTGGTTTCTTATCACGTAATGTTTGAAGGCAGGAGGCTCCTCTGGTACTGTTTTTGCTTGGGATTTGAGGTGGCCACAACAGCCAATTATTCTCTCTGGAGTTGGGATTGGCGAGAGACCGTCCCATTCAATTTCAGAAAGTGAAGTGTGGGAGGTACAGTTTGACTGTCACTTGCAGTCGTCGAATACTGCCAGTGTGTCTTCATCGATGTTGCCTGTAATGATGTGTTCTGAAGAGGGAATACTCGCTGTACTTGAGCCAGGTATATAATTAATTTCCTGAGATATGGTCATTGATGTGGTATTTTGGCCTATTACTTCATTCCTTCCAGTCTCAAAACCTAGATTTCATCTTTAATCAGCTTTTTGCAAGTTTTTCTCCTAAAAAATTTGTATATAGAAGTGAGGTACTGAGGTGTTGACAGATATATGATAAATAAGACTTCTTTTGCCCCTAAATAATAGGCTACATTTCCATTTTTTTATAGTTCAATAAAACAAGCCACTTTATAAATTCATCAATTAAGAATTCTAAACAAAGATTACATTAGTATGGTGGTGTTAAAATGTCACTGTGAAGGCTAAATAGTTAACTATGGTATTAATTCAAACCACGTTATGAATTTTCCAATTAAATGCGGTCCTTTATTTAGTGACGTAATTCAGCTTTATTTCAAGTTGATAATTCTCTTGAAACTCTAATCAAGGTCTGATTTTCGGCTCCACATGTGTAATAGGTGCAGAACCAATTGAACTGTTGGAAGAACCCTGTGCCATCAACAGCTTTGACATTGACAAACAAAATTACTCTGTAAGTGGGAGCATAATATGCAGTTGAAAGTGATAACGCATTGAACTTATATCTTAACAACTAAAATTACCTCACCGTAACCATATTTTTTATTGTCCTGCAGGATATAATATGCAGTTTGGAATGGGAATCTGTTGCTATACTTTCAAGGTCATAATGTATGAGTTTTGTAGAGCACTTGATCACAGTTGAATTTTACTACAACTATTTTTGTAACTTGAAGTACAGACATTCTCCTCAATATCTGAGGTTGTATTCTATTGATCCCCGTTTGATCTGTTCAATTTGTCAGTAAGTTCTTGACAAAATCTATTCAATGATCTCTCTTAGAGTGCCTGTTATAAGGGATGTCAACGGGGCGGGGCGGGGCGGGGCGGATGTTGGCTTTTCCATCCCATCCCCACCTAACATTCTCATCCCCATCCCCATCCCCGCCGCCCTGCTGGGTCCAATTCTAAAACCATCTCCGCCCCACCCTCACTTGGATATCCATCTCCACCTAATCCTCTTCCAAGACCTGCTTAATCCGTGCCTCTCAAATGCAACAACACTACATAATATAGATTACAACAACAAAAATTCATTGTTTATATTACACTTTTTTTTTTTTTTTTAATATAAGTTTATTACAAAGTATTATATTTACTACTTAATTTTACGTAAGTGTTATATTTTTTATATGAAATAGTATATAAGTATACAATTTTTTTTTGGAAAAATAGACTTTAATAATTCCAATTACTGGCGATTTATTTTTAATAATTCTAATTAAGGTTTATTTTCTAATAATCCCAATTATGGGGTCAATTTACTTCTAATCGTCCCAATGACCGGTGACTTGCTGAAAGAGTTTTTTTATTTTTTATTTTTTGTTTTAATCGTCACGTGTCAACACGTGAATGGTCCAAAATTAAAAAATTAAAAAAACATATACAACATAAAAAAAAAAAAAAAATTGTTGTAAAAGGGAGAAACATGAGAGTTTGAGAGAGAATTAATGTGTGTATTTTTATTCCATATGATAGGGTATATATACATACAATATAATTAGGGTTTGCTTGGATAACAATAAACCCTAGATATAGAATATTTTGGATGATACTCTCCCTTGGATGTCCATTATTGAAGATTATACCTCGTTAAAACCTTAATAGGAAAAACCCTATGGGATAAAAACCTAATCAAGGAAAAAGAGTACAACAATCTTCGTAATACGCTCGAGATGCTGCCTCATTAAAAACCTTACCAGGAAAACCCAATGTGGGATAAAACCATGGTCAAGGGTAAAAGAGTGCAACGCGTATTTTCTCCCCCTGATAAATACATAACTTGAGATCTTCTAGTGCCGCAACAATGAATCCAATATGGTTGGATAACTTCTCATATGTAGTAAAATATCATTCGTTAATCTTCGATCCTCCTAAACTGAAATTGCATCTTCAAGTCTTCACTTCACCATACATGTATTTATCTCTAATATCATTATTTCATATCTCTGTTTAATAGTTGATTTAAAAGTTAAACTTATGTGGTTATGACTTCTTCTGGAGGTCGTGAATAATAGAAATTGATAATCATTATTTGATCAAACATTCATTAATAATAATTTGATGACAAAACTTGATATTATTAATGTCGTTCTTCAATCTCATATGAATTATAATATAACACATGTAATTATATACGCTAATCATGGTTCTTCCGGACCATAAGAAAACATTCTTACGCATAAGTATTCCATTGATATTCTTTAGACGTTTCATAATTGACACGATAGCTTTCTTGCAAATACAAAAAGCAAATCTCACTAACTTTCATATGTTCAAACTTCAAGTTGAGATGTCAATGATGTAGTCACATAGACTTTTCAAGAGTTTGATAATAATTGCAATATTCAAGATATAAACTTTGTAGCACTGAGTATTTAAGTACGTCGTATATAAGTTATTCAAGGACTCTTCTTACATTATTCATAACATGCAATTAAATCGGCGTCTATAAGCCCATTGGAATATAAATATCTCCTTTTAATTTTCCATCAAAGTTGTAAATATGCCTTACTATACTTTGAATAAACATTCACATACACCACAATTATTATATAGAAAATAATGCATGCAATATGAGATATAGAAAACATGATAACATATTATTCAAAATATACAATGAGTAATGCATCTAACAACTTCTGACATATGCAATGAATAATCCATTAACCTATGACTCACACATGCATATGAACAAACATAGGTCTCAAAATAATACAAGACACTGTACAGTGTGGATTTAAAAATCCATATTTCATTGGACTTTTGGTCCATGATAAACTTTTAATTATTATCATTATGTCGACATTAAAATGGACATATATATTTCAGATCCCTTATTCACTAGTCCATTCTATCATGCATATGCATATTATTTATCGGTTCCATAGTATACCGGTATTATAAAATTCAATAAGATACAATTTCGCATGCTAATTTACTATGATATCTGAATACATCTCCAATTGGTACCATTATAACTTTTTTTTTCATATCATAGGCCATCTATTATAGTTCTCAGATATCTATATAAACCACTTCTATTTGTGGTATTTCATACATTATGCTATAAATATCAACTGCACTATCTTGCCATATATCACATATATTGGAACCGATTTTACAATTTACACTTCAGGTGTAGTGATTCAAAGAAAATAGGCAAGATCCATCTCAATATATGCACATTCTCACTATGACCAAAATATATTTCTTTATGCCTTTGAATGGATCATAACGATGTACAAATCAAATAAGAGATGTGCAACATATCTTGATACAAAAGTTGGCATGTAACTTTACAAAGTATCATTATAGGGATCAACTAATTGTAATTTTGCAATTTTTCCAACTTACTTCAATTCTTCAATTCTCCCCCTAAGTTGGTAAAATATCTCAAATATTGGGGCAACTCTTCACCAACTCAGAATATAATTTCATCTCGCAGGATAATCATATTCAACAAATTTCTTTCTCTTCTGGAGGATAATGAAATTGTGTTCTCTTCTAGAGATCAATATTAATAGGGAGTCATGAACTGTGCAGTTGTCTATTTTCTTATTCTATTTCTTATGTGCTGACATAAAATAGCCCCAATCAAGAATAAATAAATCACTTGTAGGTAAAGCCACTATATAGTGATCTTCTAATTCTCCAAATACTTTAATAATGAATTTCTATTTACTCAAAATCTCTACACATACAAGTTGTTTCAGTGAGCTTCTGGCCGCTTATTACTTGTTCACATGCAAAATATTCAAAACTAGCATATAATTTCTTGAAATTTCTTCTAAACAAATTATTAAATCACAATATATATGAATATAGCTCAATCTCAACGTTATGGCTTGCCATTCGATTCATTTCATATATCTAACATGAGAGAGCGTCATCACATTATTTCTTTCATATTAACTGAAAGTTCAAGTTTGCATGCATGACGGGTAATTATTAAACCCGGATGGCCTAATTTAATTAATTATCACATCTAGTCACTTCTCAAAATTTGAACTCTGTTCAGTTTTCCAACACTAGTGATTACTTTATTAAACTTACTTTATGCATGGCCATGAATATGATGTGATATCAGAACACCAACATGTGTTTCTTTATACAATTGGCAAGACAATCAACTAATATTTTATCCAATAATTACTCATACTCTGTTAGAGTTTTGACAATAATCTTGATACATGTTAATCTTGTTGGACATTTCATACTCTTCTAGAGTCTTTTATATAATCATGGAACATATGAATTTTACTAAAAGTGATTTCTTCAAGAAATGTAATGGAATTTAGCACTTCCTTAAATTTGTCATTATCAATATTGGCTCCTTTCCTTTTCGAAGATACTTAATTATCTTTGGAACATATTGATCTATCACGCTTTAGGCATGCTATAGGTTCATCAACAATTGATGTTGTCATTCTGGACATCAATTTTAATTTGAGCATTTACAACTAGTATATGATCAATGACATTTATTTATCCATCTTTAGGATGGTATCATTTCAAAATAAATAATTAACATGTGGCCACTTCTATTAGATAAATCGTTGATATTTAAGTTATTGTATGTATCAAACTGACCATCAATATATTTTATTATTTATGTGCAAGGATCACTTACAATCTCCCCCTAATCCTTGCATATGGGGGTATGGAATCAATCCAACAACCTTTACAATCCCTACACCTTTTAAGCTATAAATTCTATTGGAAATGTCATGTATCAAATAACGTGTTCCTTTTAGCAAAAAACATGCTTAGATAAAATTATACTTATAGAACACTTAATCATGTTCCTCTTGCCCAATTACATTCATCTTAAGAAAAATGAAACCTCTTATATATATGGGCATAATAAAACGTTGTTCATGTAAGTTTATCTCAATGTTATGTTTGCATTTTATAAACTCATAAACATTATTTCTTGGTCCAATAGTTAATATGTAATCATGTTTGCAATTCTAATTGAGCTTTTCAATGAATTGTAATCACGAAAACATCATGCAAACATGATTTCTTTCAATCACGTGAACTCTCATTCACTTATGGAGTGAGTAAATCTAGTAATTTATGTATCTTCAATACTCACTTAGAGTTCAATATCTAAAATACATTCAAAACCTTTTGTATATTTTTTCACATGGAATTGTGTCTATAGAATTGCATTAGTATCGCGGATGCTATTAAGCAATATACTTTATTAGAAACTAATAGAAATTTCTAGGTCATATACGCATCTTTATATCATTTGTAGGGTTTTTAAACCTTTATAAATTTAAGGAACTTCAGCTCCATATATATGTGTAAGTATTTCATGCTCAATTTATTCATCATTCCTATAATCTAACTTCATGTATATAGGTATATAAACAAATTCAATCATACACAAATTAATATTTGTAAGTGTTAAAGACCAAAATTTGGAATTCAAGTCCTAAAATTGAAAAGGAGTATACATTTATAGAGTATTAGCTTGCGAGTTAATAATATTACACTACTTCCTTTACCATTCATAGAAATCATATGTATATCATATCATAATCATTACTACCATCACAAACTGTAATTCATCAATCAAATCCTTTCTGATATGATTAACAAAATAATGGATTTGTCCTCAAGTTTGTTTTTAAAGTAATATTCAACATTGCATGTGAAGCCAAAGGGGTTGTCTACTTGTATTATCATAATTTAATTTGAGGTCAACTAGAAAAAAATC